AACTGTTTTTCTGAGTTTTTCTATGTCTTTGGTTTAGCAGGGTTACCATTGATGTAAGTATTTCTTCTGCTTTTCCCTCTGGTGTTCTTAATTTTTTTTTTTTTTTTTGGGTCCAGTTGTAGAGCCTGAACTCTGGGCCTGGGCACTATCCCTCAGCTCTTCAGCTCAAGGCTAGCGCCCTATCACTTGAGCCACAGCGCCACTTCCGACTTTTTTCTTTTTGCCTATGTGGTGCTGAGGAATCGAACCCAGGGCCTCATGCATGCAAGGCAAGCGCTCTACCACTGAGCCACCTTCCCAGCCCTCTTAATGTTTCTTAATGTATTGAGTTGGTTTGGAATGCTTGATCCTTATTTTTTTCAGTGTTGTTTTTGCCTCCTTTTTCTTCCTAGCACTCTTCATGAGTATATTTTAACTAAATTGTACCACATATGTCTTCTTATGTTATCTGAACTTCCTATCTTCCTATTTGCCCATACTTCAGTCTGTGTATTTTCTTCTGATCTGATTGCCATATTACTGATTGTCTTTGTTTTTGTCTAATGTCTGTTAAGCCAGTATTGGGATCTTAGTTTAACTTACTGCTTGTTTCAGTTGACTTTTTAGAGTTTTATTGTGGTTCTTTTTTAGTCGTTCCTCTCCCCCCCACCTCCCCAGGTAAAATGCTGTGTTGTTGTTTTTTTTCTAGTTCCTTTTACATATGAAGTGATGTAACTTTAGTGTCTGTCTAAGCACTCTGTCATGAGCATTATTCATTGGCTTATTTCTGTTGCTCATGTTTTGTCTTTGGTTAGTCTGTCTTCTTGAATACCAGATTATTTTAAGTGTCAGTGATAGTATAACATATAATAAAACTTATAAAGATTTTTCCTTCTTTTTTTTTTAAAGACCCTCCAAGGTTCTGGAGATTGGGCCCAGGACATTGTGTGTGTATCAGGGAAACACTGTACCTCTGAGCTGCATTCCCAGCCTTGTGGAAATAATTTTGAACCTGATGGTGTAAATACTGTCTCTAGTGAGGATTTTCTGTTGCTTCCAGGCTAGAGATATTAGGAATTCAGATTGCTTTATTAAAAAAAAATATTTTGGTGATGATCCTGGGGCTTGAACTCAGGGCCTGGGTGCGTGCAATTCCTGAGCTTTTTGCTCAGGAAATGCTCTACCATTTGCACTATGGCTCCACTTCTTGCTTTTTTTCTGGTTAATTGGAGATAAGAGTCTCTTGGACTTTTTTGCCTGGGCTGGCTTTGAATTTTGATCCTCAGATATCACCCTCCTGATAGCTAGGATTACAGGCATGAGCCACTGGAGTCCAGCTGTTTTTGAAATATATATATATATATATATATATATATATATATATATATATATATATATATATATATATATATATATATATATATATATATATTTTTTTTTTTTTTTTTTTTTTTGTCAGTTGTGGGGCTTGAACTCTGGGCCAGGGTGCTGTTCCTCAGCTCTTCAGCTCAAGGCAAGTGCCCTACCACTTGAGCCACAGCGCCACTTCCGGCTTTTTTCTTTTTGCCTATGTGGTGCTGAGGAATCGAACCCAGGGCCTCATGCATGCAAGGCAAGCACTCTCCCACTGAGCCACCTTCCCAGCCCTTGAAATATTTTTTGAAAAGTACATTTTATTGTGTATTTAAAGTATATAACATTATGTTTTAGTAAACTTTATTGTCCATATTTAATTATTATGAGCTTCCTTGGCTTTCTTTCTTTCTTTCTTTTTTCTTTTTTGCTGGTCATGGGGCCTGAACTGCTCTTCAGGTCAAGGCTAGTGCCATAGCACCAATTCCAGCTTTTTCTGCTTATGTGGTGCTGAGGTATTGAACCCAGGGCCTCATGCATGCAAGGCAAGCATTCTACCACTGAGCCACCTTCCCAGCCCTTTGGCTTGGTTTCTTGTGCTAGTGCTAGTGCTGTACTGGAGCCATACCTCATGCCTGGCTTTATAAGTATCATTTTGGAAACAGAATCTCATGAACTTTTCTTCTTGGGCTGTTTTTTTTTTGTCGGTTTTGGAGCTTGAACTCTGGGCCTGGGTGCTGTCCCTCAGCTTTTCAGCTCAAGGTGAGGGCTCTACCATTTGAGTTTTCTGGTGGTTAATTGGAGTAAAAGTCTCACGGACTTTCTTTCCGGGCTGGCTTTGAACCGTGATCATCAGGTCTCAGCCTCCTGATCTCAACTTCCCAAGTATCTAGGATTAGAATAAATACTCTCTCTATGTCTATTTTTCGGGAGAGTTTAAGAAGTATTGGTTTTAAATTCTTGGAAAGTTTGAATCAGACACTGAGCCATATGGTCTTAGATTTTTTTCTGGGAGGTGAGATTACTTTAATAATGCATTGAGATGCTTGGAAATAACATTTCATTTAAAAAAATTAGCCTATATCTAGTTTAGATTTTTATGAAGTAGCCAGTTTTTCTTAGATTTAGTTTCCTATTGCTACTACTACAAATTACCTCATATTTAATAGTGCAAAACAATAGCCCGATTTTCTGGAAGTCAGAATTTTGAAGTCAGTGTTACGTTGTTTATGTGCCAAGGGGTTAGAGTTTGTTAGCTTTTGCAGGTTCTTGGGAAAACCTCTTTCCTCACCCCTTGCACGTTCTAGATGCTTCTGTGTTCCTTGGCTTGTAGCTGTATCACCTTAATCTCTGCATCCATCTTTATGTCATATTCTCTCCTCATTTTGATCTTCTTGCCTCCCTTAACGATTATTTTGTAAGCCAGGTGCCAGCTCATGCCTGTAATCTTAGCTACTGGGGTAAGATCTGATGATTGAGGTTTGAAGCCAGCCCAGTCAGGAGACTAAGGGCCTGGGCACTGTCCCTGGGCTTCTTTTGCTCAAGGCTAGTATTCTACCACTTAAGCCAGAATGCTCTTTCTGGCCTCTTCTGTTTACATGGTACTGAGGAATTGAACCTAGGGCTTCATGCATGCTAGACAACGACTCTATCACTAAGCCACATTCCCAGCCTCATGAGATTTCCTATCTCTAGTAAACTACTCAGAAAAAGCCAGAAGTGGTGCTGTGGCTCAAGTGGTGGAGTGGTAGCCATTAGCAAAAAGCATCTCAGGGATAGTGCCCAGGCCAAGTTCAACCCCCAGGACCAATACAAAAATAGAATAAAATAAATTATTTTTTAAGAATTAGTGCTGAAAGTCGGGTGCCGGTGGCTCATGCCTGCAATCCAAGCTACTCAGGAGGCTGAGATCTGAGGATCACTGTTCAAAAGCCAGCCCAGGCAGGAAAGTCCGTAAGACTCTTATCTGCAATAAACCACTAGAAAACCAGAAGTGGCGCTTTGGCTCAAGTGGTAGAGCGCTTGCCTTGAGCTGAAGAGCTGAGGGATAGCGCTCAAGCCCAGAGTTCAAGCCCCATGACCCCCCCCCCAAAAAAAAAAAAAGAATTAGAGCTGAGCACTGGACACTATATTGAAAATGAGCTGTACAACTTGTGGGTGGGGAAGGGAAGGAAAAGCTGGGAGAAAGTGAGGGAAGGGATGATGACTTATGTAACTGTAACGCCTCTGTACATCATGATAAAAAAAAACAAAAACAAAAACAAAACTGGAGCTGAGGATTGAAGCCAGGGTTTGTGCAAGCCAAACACAAGTCCTACTAGTGAGTCTTGTGCACACACCCCTGGTCTTACTGCCTTGTTATGTAAGGGTTTTTCAGTTTCTCTTAGGCCCATCATGGCAAATCTGGATGCTTTCTCCATCTCAACTTCCTTATTACTTCAGCTGTATCTGGGATAATTGGGAGTAGGATATAGACATCACTCAGGAGAGTGTTGTTCTTTTTCTTTTTGTTTGTTGTGGGACTTGAACTTGGGGCCTGGTTACTGTCCCTGAGCTCTTTTGCTCAAAGCTACAGCACCACTTGGAGTTTTCTAGTGGTTAACTGAGTCTCACAGACTTTCCTGCCTGGGTTGGTTTTGAACTATGATCCTCCCAGCATAGGGATGATGTTCTTTTTTTTTTTTAGTCGGTCGTAGGGCTTGAACTCTGGGCCTGGGCACTGTCCCTCAGCTCTTCAGCTCAAGGCGAGCGCTCTACCACCTGAGCTACAGCACCATTTCCGGTTTTCTGGTGGTTTGTTGGAGATAGGAGTCTCACGGTCTCTTCTGCCCGGGCTGGCTTTGAACCGCGATCCTCAGATCTCAGCCTCCTGAGTAGCTAGGATTACAGGTGTGAGCCACCAGCGCCCAGCGGATGATGTTCTTAAAGTCTGAACTTTTAGGCTCACTTCACCTAATGGATCCTCAGTTTATGATCACCTGAAATCTTTGCTTTGTTTTCCATAGCCCAGGTCAGCTTCTATTTTTGGAAACAACTAATGCCAAATGCTTGATTTACCTCTCTGGGGATTCCTTCTTTGACAGATTTTCTTTTAATAATAAATGCATCTTTCCAGATCTTGTATCTGCATACTTACTTTGTCATCCTCACTTGCCATTTGTGGATGATTGTTCTGTCTTTTAAACATTTTGTATTCCTTTCTTGCTTTTTTTGTCATATGATACAAATTAAAAGGGAAAATTTTTGATGGCCATTTACTATAACATTCTCCTAATTGAATCGGATCACAGGAGAATCTTACTTGTTTAGGGATTAATAGCTAACTTCACACAGGTATACTTTATGAGGAAATCTTCGGATAACTTTGAGTATGACTTTTCACTTCTTTTAAGTGAAGAGGACATGAGTTCCAGTCTTAGGTGCTATGTGAAGCAGGCTTTAGAAGTTTCTGTCATCAAAGGGCGAAGTTCTTCTCTCTGTTGCTCAAGCTTGTGGCTTGTGACCTTTTGGCAGCCCTGGCTTTGCTTGGTAGATTAGTTAGATTAGGAACTTAAAGCTAAATAGATCCAAGTAAACTTAACACATGTAAAGATGACTTCTTAAACACCTGTGTGTATAAAATTGGGGATGAAATTTGTAGTTTTCACTTATGTGTTGCCTTGTTTCAGTATGAAGGCTTAGAATCATCTTTAAAGGATCCCAGCTTTGAGAAGGAGTCAACAGAAGCACAAAGTTTGGAGGTAAAAAAATAATAGCATAATGTAAACAGCTAGGGAAGAGATCCTTACTAAGTAAACATAAACTTTAAAAATAACATATCTTCTTAAAGTTAACTATGTCAAAGAAATGTGAAAACATCTCTGGATGTTCAAACTTAGACAAGTTAGAGGGGAACAGCACATTCCTGGCATAAATATTTAAAAACCTTGAGCTTAGAACTGGAGGTAAAGCTCAAGTGATAGAGGTTGGACCTTGAGCAGAAAAAGCAGTCAGAGCTGGAGGCCCTGTGGGCAAGCCCCAGTACTGGCACAAACAAAACCAACAGCAGCAAAAAATCCCTTGAGTTCTTGTTGCTAATGTGTTCTGAAAGAGGCATTGTTAGCTTATTGGACTCCAGAGATATGCAGAAAGAAGTTTTTCATTCTTCATTCCTGAGAAATGCATTAAGGTAGTCATTCCTTTTTTTGTGACACAGTTTGTTCCAGAAAGGAAATAGAATTCCTTTTCAGAAACTTAGTAATAAATAATAAAATAGAAATTGATTATTAGGAAATTTTAGAATTTTAGAAATTAGTTTATATAAGTTATAGTAACATTTCTTTTCCTCTCCATATAGTAAGATCTAATTAGTATTAGACTATTGATTTGCATTATATGTGACTGTTCTCTAAAAAGCACTTGTTGAGGTTTGTGGTGTAAACACTCCCACCATGGCCAGTTAAGGACTGAATGAGAAGTCTGAAATAGACATAGTTAACTTTCCTGAGCGGAGATAGATTCAGCTAGTTGTGGAAAGGAAAGCATGGTACTTTGTAGTTTACCTAGAAAAAGACAATGGGAGTGTCTCAGGACTGTTGAAGATGGAGGTGGTGAGTAAGTAGTCTGCTTCTGCTCATGATAAGTAGACCTTGTACCTTTGGTGTACGTGTTCAGTTTAGCTTGGCCAATCACAGCCACCCATTGTGTAATCATCGGAATATCTGGGTCATGATTCAGAATGCCCATGGAGAGTCCAAAGAAATATGAAATTGATTGAATTTCAAATGAAATCTTTAGTCTTTTCTATGTTCATTTGTTACTTGTTAATATGCTTAAGCACTGGTTGAAATTGTTCCATTTTATTTGTAGAACTAGTAGAAATTATTACTAGATTGGTAAATAAATACAGAAAGCCATTTGGCATATTAGTAGAAGAGCAGCATCTAGGAAGCAAAGACATTTGATGGTTTTGTGGATAAAATAAATATATCAGCTGGGCGTTGGTGGCTCACACCTGTAATCCTAGCTATTTAGGAGGCTGAGATATGAGGATTGCGGTTCAAAGCCAGCCCTGGCAGGAAAATCTGTGAGACTCTTATCTCCAATAAACCACGAGAAAACCAGAAGTGGCACTGTGGCTCAAGTGGTAGAGTGCTTGCCTTGAGCTGAAGAGCTGAGGGACAGCGCCCAGGCCCACGACCGACCAAAAAAAAAAAAAAAAATATATATATATATATATACACACACACCAGTTTGTTGTCAAGAGAATTGCATTTATATAAGCTACTGGTATATTTGTTTTTAGCTGCATTGAATATTTTGAATTTTACAAGTTTTTTTTTAAGGAATAGTAGTCATAATTGAGTACAGACTGTAATTTAATATAACTTTTGCAAAGTCTCATGGTTGATTCTATAAGTAAAAATCCAACCAATAGAGACATTTTGATTCAAGTTAAGAATTCCTATAATGAAGTAGTCAAAGTTGGGGAACTATATATAAATAAGTTTTTTAAACTACTGTATTATTTTTTGGTTATTTTAAAAAATAAGTTTGACCAAGGATCACAAAGGTCAGAGGTATGTTTACTATACTATTTAAAATCCAGTTGGAATAATCCAATAACAAATCACTTTAAATTAAGAAAAGTTGTAGAGAATGTTATCATTCAGTAAGGAATATTACATGAAGCAGTATTGATTAGTTTTGATTATATTTTTATGTGATTATGTTTCTATGTTAAATTGGATTTCTTACTATTTTTTTTAACATGCTTCAGAACAGTACTTAGTGAAGTTATTGCCTTTTTTGTAAATAAAGTTTTATTGGAATTCAAACATATTAATTCACTTAGGCATCATTTCTATTTCTCAGTGACATAGTTCATGATAAAGACTTCATAGCCTGACTTTACTATTTTCTCTCTGACTCTTTTCAGAAATTTGCTGACCACGACTAGAATTGTCATTTTAATGCTATAAAAACAAGCAATATCTATCTATGTAATTATTTGTCTATCATCTGTACTATGTATTTGATATATAATGTTTGAATATACTCAACTTATATACTATATCAGAAAATTCTATGTCTGTCTTGTTAAAGTTGACTTTCTATTTTAGGCAACCTATGAAAAATTGGATAGTTCCAAATCTAAACTTGAAGATGAAATACTATTCCTTGAAAAAGAGCTAAAAGAAGAGAAGTCTAAACATTCGGAACAAGAACAATTGGTAAGTATTTTGTATTTGAGGATATACAAAAAGAAAGGTCTAGAGTTTATAACACTAATACGACATTGGTTAAAATACATGGGCACTAAAAAAAAAATACTTGGGCACCGATGGCTTATGCCTCTAATCCTAGCTACTCTGGAGGCTGACATCTGATGATTACAGTTCAAAACCAGTCCAGGGGCTGGGATAGTGGCTCAGTGGTAGAGCGCTTGCCTTGCATGCCTGAGGCCCTGGGTTCGATTCCTCAGCACCACATAAGCAAAAAGAAAAAAGCCGGAAGTGGCGCTGGGGCTCAAGTGGTAGAGCACTAGCCTTGAGCTGAAGAGCTGAGGGACAGCGCCCAGGCCCAGAGTTCAGGCCCTGCAACCAACAACAACAAAAAGTGATAGTATACTAACCTTGAGCAAAAAAGCTCAGGGACAGTGCCTAGGCCTTGAGTTTACCCCCTGACTGACAAAACAAAAACATGAACATGCAGCCCAGATGTGGGAGTGTGTCCCTTTAATTACAGCACTTTGAAGGCAGAGGCAGAAAGATGTCAAGCTCCAGGTTGTACTGGAGCTCTCCCTATACCCTCCCCTCGCTGCCCCCCCTCCCCGCCCCCTCCTCAGCAAGAGTGTGCTTCAGAGAATAAAACAAGACAAAAGTTATATGCAAAAAAATGCATAAGGCCATAAAGTAGAAGGCAAAAATTTCCAGCTCCACTTTTCACTTCCTAAATGTTACCATAAGTATCTTGATCATTCTTTTGTTTTGCTCAAGGCTAGCATTCTACCACTTTGAGCCACAGTTCCACTTCTGGTAGTTTATTGGAGATGAGTCTCATCGACTTTCCTGCCTGGTTTAGCTGAACCACAATCCTCAGATTAGGATTTCAGGTGTGAGCCACCAGTGCTTGGCTGTCTTGCCAGTTCTTAGAGATATTTTCTACATGTGCTATAGAAGTAATCTATATAACGAATTCAGTTTTGGGTTGGTGGCTCAAGTGGCAGAGCATTTGCCTAGCAAGCACCAGGCCCTGAATTCAATCCTCAGCATTACATAAATGAATAAGTTGGCAGGTAAAGATAGATCAATAGATAATAGAGATACAGAGCTAGATAAAGTAATCACATACATAGTCATTAATTATTTTAGATTTAAAAGATATTTTAAAACCATTCTAATTTTCCATTTTAAAATCTGGCATAAGGAGAATTTTGGTATTTTTGTGATTATTTAGTGAAATGTGGTATCCTGTATGAATGCAGTGAATATCCAGGTTGAGATGAGATGCTACTGTTGAGTAGCTTTCATATAAAATTCTTTTCAGCATAATGCTAAGTCAAGTAAGAAGATGTATTCATTTAGTCCTGCACTTACTTGAGGACAAGTGAGTTAATACCATACCTAGTTGCCGGGTGCCAGTGGCTTACGCCTGTAATCCTAGCTACTTAGGAGGCTGAGAGCTGAGGATCACGGGTCAAAGCCAGCCCAGGCAGGATAGTCTGTGAGACTCTTATCTTCAGTTAATCACCAGAAAATCAGAAGTGGCACTGTGGCTCAAGTGGTAGAGCACTGTCCTTGAGCTGAAGAGCTGAGGGACCGTGCCCAGGCCCAGAGTTCAAGCCCCATGACTAACAAAAACAAAACAAAATATACCTAATGTATATCACATCTTGTAGGGTGAGGTGTTTAAATAGTTTATTGACTGATACTGTCTTTCCAGACGGCGGATATTTCAAAAAGGATACAATCTCTAGAAGATGAATCAAATTCTCTCAAATCACAAGTAGCAGAAGTAAGTTGAATTAATCTGATAGGGCTGTTGCTTTTGAAAATCATTTCAGTTTCATTGTTAGTAGTTAAGGAAATAACATTCTATAGAGATTTGAGAAATAGTGGATCTTGGATTTTTTTTTCCTTGAGGCACTTCAGGAAAGTTCCATCTTTCACTGTTTATTCCGCTATTGCTGTATACTGCAGTGTGTGGTACTTTACAGGAATACACTGAAAAACCTTCATGGAGTTAAAGTTTTAAGAGAGGAGATGCAGAATAAATAGTTATCAACAATTTGCTGCATAGGATATAATAGGCTACAAGAAGTTAAATCATAGTTGTGAGCAGTGGCTCACATCTATATTCCTAACTTTTCAGGAGGCTGAGATCATTAAGGTTACTGTTTTGAGGTCAGCCCAAATGAAGTTTCCAAGAAGTACTTGTCATCCCAACTGTGTTGGAAGCACAAATAGGATCAAGGTATAAGCCTGCCAGGGTAGAAAGAGAGAGATTGAAAATCAATGAAAGCATAAGGAGTAGTAGTAGTAATAGTGGAAAAGCACATGTCTTATAGGTTCAGGAATCTGAGTTCAAACCTTAGTACTACCACCAAAAAATAGGTTAAATCATGTGTTCATGGTTATACAGCAAATTACTGCAGAACCAGAACTAGTCTGATTCTTGGTCAGCCTTCTTACTATGCTGCCTCTACTAATACTGGCATGTTTTTGCTACTTGCTTTAATTTCATGTTGTATGGGAGACTTTGTAGAGATGAGCAGTAGTCTTAAATTAATTGCTTTAAACTCAATATATTTTATTTTATTTAGGCCAAAACAACCTTCAGAGTATTTCAAATCAATGAAGAACGACTTAAGGGAACAATAAAAGATGCTTTGAATGAAAATTCCCAACTTCAGGAAAGTCAGGAACAGGTTTGTACTCTGGAGAGTGTTCAGCTTGTAAATATAAATGTTTTGGGAAAACTCATTACTGACATGGGTAAGTTTCCCCAGAAAGTGAAAGAGCAGGATAATGTACACATACCTTGGTTTTTCTATTGTACAGATAATAAAACTTTGGGTACCCTCTTCTCCCAGAACTGAAGTAAGCCAGGGTATTCAGCATTCCTGTTACCATAGTAAACAGCTTTTAGCACCAATTTCTCAAAGCTAGACTGAAAGTGTTCAGGGAATACCAGTGGAGGTTGATGAAATTATCCGTCTGGAGCCTAAAAATAGAAGGAGTTCTGGCACTGGATAGTAAATGGACATGTTAATTTATAATCCCCTTGTACAATAATTTGAAGTTTTAAAAAAATTTTGGCTACAGGTCAAACAGAGATTTAGTTTTATATTCTCCCCTCTCCTCCCCAAGTGTAGACACTCCCACATATTATTTTTTCCTTCTGTTTTCCCAGTGAAGTTACAGTTTTTACTGGGGAAGATTTTTTTTTTTTGGGTACGGTCGTGGGGCCTGAACTCTGGGCCTGGGCGCTGTCCCTCAGCTCTTCAGCTCAAGGCTAGTGCTCTTCCACTTGAGCCACAGCACCACTTCCGGCTTTTTTCTTTTTGCTTATGTGGTGCTGGGGAATCGAACCCAGGGCCTCAGGCATGCAAGGCAAGCGCTCTACCACTGAGCCACCTTCCCAGCCCCATGGGGAAGATTTCTTATGATTCTATTATCATAGTTGCCTAAATGTTTTTCAGTGTGAATCATCTGATGTTCATTGATCACACATTTTCTTATCTAACCTTTTATTTTTCTTAGGGTTAATACTAATTGCTTCCTTTTATATCTAATTCATCCAGACACTCTCTTCTAGAGATGTCAATGTCTTATTTGTGCATTCTTCTGAATGCATGAATTCCTCTGTTAATTTATTTGTTAGTTTTAATTTTTTTTTTTTTGGATTGTGGGGCTTGAACTCTTGGGCGCTGTCCCTGTGCTCTTCAGCTCAAGGCTAGTGCTCTACCACTTAAGCCATGGCGCCACTTCCAGTTTTCTGGTGGCTTATTGGAGATAAGAGTCTCAAGGACTTTCCTGCCCGGGCTGGCTTTGAACTGTGATCCTCAGATCTCAGCCTCCTGAGTAGCTAGGATTACAGGTGTGAGCCACCGGCGCCCGACTAGTTTTAATTTTTTGTTGAATCAGTTCTTCTTGGGGACCTCCTTCCTTTAACCCACTAAGAAGTTGTTCTGTAGATAAGTTAGGCTTCTGTTGTCCTGAGATTTCATTTCACTCCTTTCCTGCAGACTCCCCTCAACTTTCTCCTGTGTTGGATCTTTGGTTTCTTCTTCTTCTTTTTTCCAATCCTGGGGTTTGAACTGAGGACTGGGGCACTGTCCCTGAGCTTCTTATTTTGCTCAAGGCTAGCACTCTACCATTTGAGCCAAAGTGCCACTTCCGGCTTTTTCTGTTTAGGTGCTATTGAGGAATCAAACCCGTTGGCTTCATGTATGCTAGGCAAGCCTCTTGCCCCTGAGACAGATTCCCAGCTCCAGATTTTCTATTTCTTGTACCTAAGACTTATTTTTTTCTTTTCACTAGCTTTCTGAGAAAAAAGGAGATAAAAATAATTTTTTGTAGAACTTTCATGCCTGAAACTGTTTTGTTTTACTGATATTTTCATTGGATACCATCTGGGTTGCAGTCCCCCCCCCCCCCCCCCCCCCCCATTAGAATGTTGATGTTATTTTCCTATGGCTTTCACTTTTTTTCTCTCCCTGGTCTGGAGATTATACTGAGGGCCTCATACTTGCTAGACAGGCACTCTACCACTTGTTATACCCCCAACCCTTTTTACTCTGTATTACATTTATGCCCAGTCCAGCCTGGATAGTGAGTGATTCTCCTATTCATGCTTCCTTCACAGGTAGCTGGGATGATAGGTATGTGCCATTATGCTGAATTTTTATTGGTTGAGGTAGAGTCTCATGAACATTTTTTCAGGGCTGGCTAGAACTGTGATCCTCTTGTTCTCTGCCTCCCACGTAGCAAAGATTACAAGTGTAAACTCTCTTTTTTTTTGGCCAGTCGTGGGGCCTGAACTCTGGGCCTGGGCTCTGTCCTTCAGTTCTTCAGCTCAAGACTAGCACTGTACCACTTGAGCTACAGCACCACTTCTGACTTTTTCTGCTTATGTGGTACTGAGGAATCGAACCCAGGGCCTCAAGCATGCAAGGCCCTCTACCACTGAGCCACCTTCCCAGCCCCAAATGTGAACTCTTAATACCTGACTAAGTTTCTCTTATTCTTTATAACTACTTTTCAGCCAACTTAAAAATTTTTAATTGTTATTTTAAAGGCTATGTTCACATGTGTACAGTTACGTAAGTCAGGTAAAGAGTACATTTTTTTTTTTTTTTTGCTGGTCAAAGGGCCTGAACTCTGGGCCTGGACACTGTCCCTCAGCTCTTCAGATCAAGGCTAGCGCTCTGCCACTTGAGCCACAGAGCCACTTCCGGCTTTTTCTGCTTATGTGGTGCTGAAGAATTGAACCTAGGGTCTCATGCATGCAAGGCAAGCACTCTACCACTGAGCCACCAGTGCTACATTTGTTCATTCTTTGTTCCTCCATTTCTATGCTCCACCTCTTTTTAATCATCAAAGTTCTTAAAACAAACATGTATTTACTGATTCCCTGTTCTAATTCTAAATGTTCTTTTAACATTTTAAGATTTCATGCTCAGTTACTCAACCTCTTTAGTAACTCGTTAGACCACTGGAATAGTCAATCCAGTTTTTTTCTTTAGTCTTCATTTGGTTTTATGTCAGTGACATCTGATTCTGTTACATATGCATAGAAAACAATTAGTTTCTGTGTAGTTGTATATGATAATTAAGCTATAATTTTGTAGAGCAATTAATTACTATTTGATAGAATAGAGTTTTAAAGATATTAGATGAATTTGACTTTATTTTTCATACATGTGGAGCATTTCTTTTGTGAACTTTCTGTTTAGTCTTTTTCCCCCCTTAATTTTCTTACTGACTTATAAGAAGCATTTGCATGCTAAGATTATTGTCTGTAGTTGTTTTAAAGTTTTGATTTGTGAATCTTTTGATATAGTCAAGTGTGTATATATATATATATACGTATATATATATATATATATATATATATGTACACATATATAGGTTGTGTGTGTGTGTGTGTGCATGTTCTGGGGCTTGAACTCAGGGACTGGGTGTTGTACCTGAGTTTTGTGTACAAGGCTAGCACTGTGCCTCATGAGCCACAGCTCTACTTTCGGTTTTTTGGTATTTAATTGGAAGTAAGAGTTTCACAGACTCTTCTTTTCAGGTTGGCTTCAAACTATGATTCTCAGATCTCAAGTGTTCTGAGTAGCTAGAATTTCAGGCATGAGCCAATGGTACCTGGAAAGTCTTCCCCCCCCCCCCCCCCGGAATTATTATAAATTTATTTTATGTATTTATTTTATTAAGTAGTTGTACAGGGAGGTTACAATTCCATATGTCAGGTTATTAGTACAATGCACCTCATTGCTACCTCTTTTATTGTTCTCCTCCAAGTCTATCTTTTTTTTTTTTTGGGTCTGGTCATGGGGCCTGAACTCTGGGCCTAGGAGCTGTCCCTCAGCTCTTCAGCTCAAGGCAAGCGCTCTACCACTGAGCCACCTTCCCAGCCCCCAAGTCTATCTTTTAATGAAAAATTTTATTCCATGTTCATAAATTCTTCCTTTTCTTTTTAAAATATATAGTAGAATATTTATGCAGGATCGGATTTGCCCTAGACAAATGGAATTTCTAAGGGTCAATTATCTTCAGTACAAAACAGCATAATAAATTAAAAAATTAACTTTTAATGCAAATAAGATACTGCACATTATATGGGATATGTGAGTAGTAGAAATAGCAGATCTAACAGATAAGTATATTCATTTGATATAAATTTATTCTGTAAATCAGTTGAAGAATGTTTAAGTGTGTGTTGCATTATATATATCTTGAAAGTTCTCTGAAAACAAGCCATTTTTGTCTCGTTTGTGTGACAGCACTGTGTATTATTGTCTCTTAGATACTTCTATGTATACAAGAGTGGTCTCTGTATATTACAAGAATTGAATTTCTTTGCTATTGTTTCCGTTTCAGCTTTTACAAGAAATTGAAGTCTGGAAAGAACAAGTGAGTGAACTTAACAAACAGAAAATAACATTTGAGGACTCCAAAGTACAGGCAGAACAAGTTCTCAGTGATAAAGAAAACCATGTCAAGGTAAATGGCCCTCCTGGTTTTAATGTTTGAGTTAGAATCTCATATTAATTCAAACATTTAAAATTTTGCTTTCAAAAGCTTTTATTTTGATTTTGTCCAGATTGTCAAACACTTCCTGCAGAAGAGTTTTGTAGCATTAACATATCATATGTTCTTTTCTATGTCTTCAGTATTTTAGCCTGGGCACTTAGTAAAGAAGGAAGAGAAAAATGGTTTTTCTATCATCTACTCTGTTAGTAAGAGGAAGTTGGAAAGAATTTGTGAAACCAAGTGGATAGTTAAGGTTTTATATCTATCTATACATACATACATACATATATATATATATATATATATACATATACACACATACGTATACATATATGTATATATACAGACATATACATGTATATGTGTATATGTACACATATGAGTGTATATGTATATATGCATATATGTCTATATGTATGTATATATAGTACAAGAACAACAAGATGGCTCTTACTTTCAGAGAACATTCAAAATAGTACTATAAAGTATTATATATACAGATACACATATGCATAGACATACACACATACACACACCAGCTTTAATAATCTAGGTTTGGGGATGTTACGTACTTTTATAGAGATCAACAATTTTTTTTGTTTTTTGTCAGTGTGGGGCTTGAACACAGGGCCTGGATGCTATTCCTGAGCTCTTTTGCCTCAAGAGTGGCACTCTACCACTTTGATCCACAGCTCCACTTCCAGTTTTCTGGTGGTTAATTGGAGATAAGAGTCTCGTGGACTTTCCTGCTTAGGCTGGCTTGGAACTGTGATCCTCATATCTCAATCTTTTTTTTTTTTTTTTTTTGTCGGGGCTTGAACTCTGGGCCTGGGCACTGTCCCTCAGCTCTTCAGCTCAAGGCTAGCGCTCTACCACTTGAGCTACAGTGCCACTTCTGGTTTTCTGGTGGTTTATTGGAGATAGGAGTCTCACGATCTCTCCTGCCCGGGCTGGCTTTGAACCGCAATCCTCAGATCTCAGCCTCCTGAGTAGCTAGGATTACAGGCGTGAGCCACCAGCGCCCGGCATCATATCTCAATCTTCTGAGTAGCTAGGATTCCAGGCATGAACCACCAGCACCTGGCCAAGCAATGTAGAATTTTTACAAAATAAATTGAGTTGAAGCTTGACTCGAATCACAGGAATAAAATAATTATTATGAAGGTTTCTTATTTCCTTTCCTCTCCCCAAGCCCCTTTTTCTTGGATATTCTTTTAATTCTTATACTTTCAAACTACAAACAGATATGCAAATGTATCAAATAATGAGATGTAAGACTAATATGAATGTTAAATGAATGTTGTTACATTGAAAGTTGCCAGTTCTGTCTAGCTGATATACCCATGCAGTGTCTTTTCTAATCTTTTTTTTTTTTTTAAATTTAATTTAATTTTATTTGTGAACATACTGTACAGAGGAGTTACAGTTACATGGGCAGGATAATGCGTACATTTCTTACCAAGCATTGCAGCCTCCTCCTTTGTTTACCCTTCACATCCCTTCCCAGCCTCCCCCCTCCCCCCCTAATCCCAATCCTTCTCCTTCCCCCCCCCTCTAATCTTTTAAAAACACAATGGGATAAGGAATGAGTTTAATCAACCAAAAGACATGATTGAACTGAAGATGACACCCCATCTTCTGTTTTCATAGGGAAAGATTGTTCAGGACTAGCTTAAATTCATTATTGGAAAAGATGAAAAGGGCATATTCCAAAAGGTAGCTAACAGGATATCAGGAAGCAGTAAAACAAGTATAGACAGGGACTCAACCTGTCTTTTGACAGGGTTACTGTAGGTCAGACACTCATAATCCTGTCTTCACTTAGACATAGGATAAGCACTTATACAACCAGCAGTTTAACTCAGTCTTTCCCCTGTACTCAGTCACAGTTTTTTTTTTTGGGTCTAGTCATGGGGCCTGAACTCTGGGCCTGGGTGCTGTCACTTAGCTCTTCAGCTCAAGGCTAGCGCTCTACCACTTGAGCCACAGCACCACTTCCGGCTTTTTTCTTTTTGCTTATGTGGTTCTGAGGAATCGAACCCAGGGCCTCATGCATGCAAGGCAAGCGTTCTACCACTGAGCCACCTTCCCAGCCCTCAGTCACAGTTCTTAAGGGGCCCTAGGGCTCTCATAGATTGCTGTTAAGAATGCTTGCTGTTACGAATGCTTTCAAGATTCTATCTTTTAGCCGGGCACTGGTAGCTCAGGCCTGTAATCCTAGCTACTCAGGAGGCTGAGATCTGAGGATTGCGGTTCAAAGCCAGCCCAGGATGCAAAGTCCGTGAGACTCTTATCTCCAATAAACTACTAGAAAACCAGAAGTGGCGCTGTGGCTCAAGTGGTAGAGCACTGGCCTTGAGCTGAAGAGCTGAGGGACAGCACCCAGGCCCAGAGTTCAAGCCTAACAACTGACAATCGATCAATCAATCAATAAATAGTGAAGAAGGGAAAAAAAAAAAACTCCAAAAGATAGAATCTCTTGAGTCATAGGCCACTTCTGGTTTTCTGAGTAGTTTACTGGAGATAAGAATCTCTTGGACTTTCCTGCCTGGGCTGGCTTTGAACCATAATCCTCAGATCTCAGCCTCCTAAGCATCAAGGATTACAGGCGAGAGCCATCTGCACCTAGCAGTTTCTCATTATTTATATACAGTTGACTTTTGTGTATCCACAAGCTCTACCCCTGTGGATTTAACAATCACAGATTGACAGTATTAAAAATAAAATACACCTCCATTGAACATGCGAGGACTTTTTTCGTTGTAGTACTTCTCTAAATAATACAGTGTAACACCTATCTACATAGTATTACTTTATAGTAGGTATTGTAAATAATCAGAGATGATTTAAACAATACAGGAGAATGTGTATAGATTATATATTTTTTAATTTTATTTATTTATTTATTGTTGGATGTGGGGCTTGACCTCTGGGCCTGGGTGCTGTCCCTTAGCTCTTCAGCTCAAGGTGAGCGCTCTACCACTTGAGCCACAGCACCACTTGCGGTTTTCTGGTGATTTATTGGAGATAAGAGTCTCACAAGACTTTTCTGCGGGGCTAGCTTTGAATGTGATCCTCAGATCTCAGCCTCCTGAGTAGTTAGGATTACAAGTCTGAGCCACCGGGGTGCCCTGTTATATATTTTAAATAAGGGATTTTGGTGGCAGTGGTGGTGCGCCATGTCCTGGAGCCAATCTCCTTTGGATACTAAGGGATGACTGTGCTTTTCTCCTCCAAACTTACTGTACTCTGCGTTCCTAATCAGAACACAAATGGGAACTTCTCAAAGCCGTAGGCCCTGTTATTTCTACCTGGAAGCCTGAAGGCAGGAGAGAGAGACTACACAGTGAAAATTTTAGAGCAGGGTGGATCTTCCCAGAGAAATTTATGGCATGGTCATTTTATTATCTGTAGTGCTAAAAAATCTTTTCTTTTCTTTTTTTTTTTTTTTTGGTCGGTCATGGGGCTTGAACTCTGGGCCTGAGCGCTGTCCCTCAGCTCCTACAACTCAAGGCAAGCACTCTATCACTTGAGCTACAGCGCCACTTCCGGTTTTCTGGTGGTTTATTGGAGATAAGAGTTTCATGGACTTTCCTGCCCGTTCAGGCTTTGAACTGCAATCCTCAGTTCTGAGCCTCCTGAGTAGCTAGGATTACAGGCGTGAGCCACTGGCACCCGGCCAAAAAGTATTTCTTAACTCTAGAAAACAAAAACAAAACCCCTGTTATTTATTTTCTAACATTCCCAATTTGGTTCTCTCTCTCTCTCTCTCTTTTTTTGTCCTGGAGCTTGAACTTTGGGCCTGGACGCTGTCCCTGAGCTCTTTTTGCTCAGGGCTATCACTGTACCACTTTGAGCCACAGTGCCACTTCCCTTGATTCTCTTTTATAATTTTTTTTCTGTACCTCAGTTGAAGTATCAACCATTTGTTTACTTGAATAAGTAAAAAAATCCTATGATCTTTTTGTTTAGACTTCTCACTTGAAGATATGATTTGATTGCATACAGAATTTACTCCCATGTTAATAACACTCCTAATTGGATCATGTGAGCAATGTCATGGAAGTAAATATTTTTTTCTACTTTGTAGCCATCTATTAGTAAGAATGGGCCATTATCAGATTCTGTAGTTGATATAGTAATAACTAGAGTAAGTTTTGTGTTTTGATTTATTTATTGTTATTGTACTGAGGAGTTACGATTACATGAGTTAGTGTATTTCTTTTTGAACAATGTCATGACCCCTTCCCTTGTTCTCTCCCAGTTCTTCCCTCCCATCCCCATTTGCAAGTTGTATAGTTTATTTTTCAACATAGGGTCTATGAGTATCACCACTACATTTTTTTGCCCTTTGTCCCACCATTTTTGTCCCTGTCCCCCCTCCCCTCCCCCTCCCAAAGACAGATAAATGAACAAACAAGATAAAAGGAAATGAAAACAAGAACAGCAATGAAGAATAAAAATCTTGTTTCCACTTCTTGGAGTTCATTTTGATAAATAGTATTTTATATGATCAGATGCACATAGCTGTTATGGCTATATGATTCTTTCCTAGGAATATCCTAACTTGAGCTGGGTGCTGGTGGCTCACTTCCATAATCCTATCTATCTACCCCGGAGGCTGAGGTCTGATGATTGAAGTTTATGTAAAATGTGAAATCAGAACAAAACGATTAATTATTAAAAATAGAGGAAAGCATTAAAGGGAAATTCCAGGGGTAAAGACCTAAAGAAAAGAATGAACTAATAAAGAAGTTAAGCATCAGGGTTACCGAAATGTAGCAGAATTCAGGAAACGTCCAGTAACCCAGAAGGTAGTTTGGCCTTAGACTTGGTAAATAGGGAACTTGGGAGGTGTGAAAGGTAGTATAGTAAATAGGAAGCTTGGGAGGTGTGAAAGGTGTTATAGTAAATAGGATGTTTTGGGATGGTTTTGTTTTATTGGAAACTGCTGTTTGTCACTTATACTGGCACCTGTGTGCAGCCCTTTCTGTATGCTGCCACCTGTGCATGGCCTCTTTGCTATTTAAATCACAGTGTGAGAGAGCATGGTTACTGTGCTTCACTACCTGATGAGTGGGGCATAGTATCCACGGCTAATAAAGACTCCTTGTCCTTTTTATCTCAGTCGGTGGATATATTTGCAGGAAACATTTGTAGGAGCCGGGATTCTACCAAGTCAGCCTGGGAAGAAAAAGCCTGCATGAGACTCTTATCACCAATTAACCACTCAAAGACTGGAAGTGGAGCTGTTGGTCAAAGTGGTAGAGTGCTAGCCTTGAGCCAAAGAGCTCAGGGAGAGTGCCCAGGCTCTGAGTTCAAGGCGCCCCCTCCCTCCCCCACCAAACAAACAAACAAACAAACAATTTTAACTGGAGTAAGTTTTTATCTTGCTGGGTATAATAGTCAATGAATTTTGGAGTTTTCAAGACTGTGTACATACATTGATTACAGAAAAAGAAGAGCTCACATACTATTGTTTATGCTGATTGATTTGGAAACTTCTGTTGTATATTTCTAAGTTTTTAAGCCCTTAGTATAAAGCTTTACCCTCTTGTTTTTGTTTTTCCTCTGCTCAATGTCAAGTCTTTGACCCAGCGCTTGCTAAAGATGAAAGATTGGGCTGCTGTGCTTGGAGAAGACCTAACTGAAGATGGTAACTGGGATTTGGAAATGAAGAGTGAGTCAGAAAGTGTTGCTCACTTAGGTATTAAGTCATGACCCATCCTCTTTTGATAAATGATGACTAGCTCTTCTACTTCCTTTGTGTCCCCAAATGCGCCATATTCTTTGTTCACATCTGTTTTTGAAACAGAGTCCTTCTCTCACCATCCCATAGTTTATCTGTGGCTGGAATCAGACGTGTTCAATAAACCTTTCTGCACTTCTTTAGACAGACGTAGCACCTCTTCCCCTCTGTTCTCTCTCTCTTTTTTTTTTTTTTGTCAGTTATGGGACCTGAACTCTGGGCCTGGGTGCTCTTTGGCTCTTGAGCCTCAGTGCCACTTCTGGGTTTTTCTGTTTGTGTGGTGCTGAGGAATCAAACCCAGAGCCTCATGCATACAAGGCAAGCGCTCTACCACTGAGCCACCTTCCCTCTCCTCCTCCCCCCCCTTCTCTTCATGTTCAACATAACTTTGTTGTAATACTTTAAAAAGTCGCATTATAATTATTTTAATGATTGTTTTCCCTTGTATTGGAAGTTAAGCCTTTGAATGAGTGATTAGCTTAAAAAATGTGTTATAGAAATAAATAATTCATGATATATCTTTTGCTTTAGTCATATGGTACTTTACCATAATCATCATACCAAGTTATTACTGCTTTTGCTGGTTGCTTTCTGGACTTACTTTGGAAAAATAAATTAATTAGTACCAATTATAACAATAGTATAGAGAAGTCCTTTATACTCTTCACCTAATTTCCTCTTTAATATTGTCTTCTGTTTCCCCTGACTCACTGTATAATTAAAAAGATCCATTAAGAATGAAATAATTTGAATTAATTCTTTCAGGTTATTAACATGTAAGAAAATTACATTCACAAACTGATTTCTTTCTTTTTTGGTGGTACTAGAGTTTGAACTGAGGATGTTGCACTTACTAGGCAAGTACTCTGCCACTTGAACCATGCCTCCAGCCCAGAAAATTAAAATTCCCAAAGTAAACAGACACAGAAATCTTTCCTTATTCACAGAGGGTGCTTTCCAAGCTCTGTAGTAGGTGCCTGAAGGTGACTTATCACTGAATGACCTCTCTAGATGCTGTGTGTTATCCTGTACCTACATACTTGTGATAAAAGTGGTAAAGTAGGCACAGGAAGAGACTCATGACAGTAATATTTAACATACTTATTGCAATATACTGTAATAAAAATTATGTGAGTATATTATCTTTCAGTTGTGATGCTGAAGCAGCTCATATGATAACTGAGATGGCTGCTAGTGATATACAGCGTGGACACCCTGGAAACAGGGATCACATGTGGTTTAGGTAGGGAACAGGACTAGGACTACATGAATTTCATCATGCTACTCTGGAGGCATAGTTTACAGCCTAGGAATCTTTTATAGAATTTTCCACCTACTATTTTCTGACCATTTATGTAAGTGCAGAACTCACAGATAGATAAAGGGGGCTCTTAGAAAGTTGAGTCTGTAGGCTGGGATGTGGCTTAGTGGTAGAGTGCTTGTCTAGCATGTGTGAAGCCCTGGGTTCAATTCCTCAGTACCACATAAACAGAAAATAGAAAATTTTAAAATTTACAAAATAAAAAGAGAGTTGAATATGTACTTTTTTGTATTTCATCTTGTAAGAAATCATCCTTATTTTCTGATAGAGTTTATGCTTATTTAATTAAGTTATTTGAGTCTGGGTTGTAATTCCATTCATATTTTGGCAGAACTAGGGTTTGAACTCAGGGCCTTATACTTGCTAGACAGGTGCCCCCTCCATCGAACCACTCTGCCAGCCCCTAATTCTGCTGTATTTTGGATGTTGAAAGACTCTTAGGATTATTTAAGGCTATGGTCTGCATTTAGGTCAATTCTCAATTCTCATTATAATATGTTATTGAAGTTGCTGAAGAGCCCTTTAAAATACAAAGTTACTTCCAGTACTTTTATTGTTTAGCCTCCAGGGAGTAGATTCAAGGCCATTCTGCTTTATTCCTAATTCCTGTTGTAATTAGAAGAGGGATCATAACTGTAATCATTTGGGTGTCTGTTTAGTATTGTACTGTCTTCTCAAATTATTATGTGTTTGTTTTTTACTATAGATAATCCACCAAAAGGAGCCTTGAAGAACCTGATTTATGCTGCTAAGGTTTGCACTACTACTTAAATATAAAGAATGAAGAGGAGGTCAGGGAATGTGGCTTAGTGGTAGAGTGCTTGTCTAGCATGCATGAAGCCCTGGGTTTGATTCCTCAGTACCACATAAACAAAAAGCTGGAAATGGCTCTGTGGCTCAGGTGATTGGGTGCTAGCCTTGAGTAAAAGAAGCTCAGGGACAGTGCCCAGGCAGAAAAAAAAAAAAAAAAAAAGGAATAGATAGAACATAGGTTAAACCTATATGTTCTTAGTAACTATTTTATTGTTCCTATGTAAGGGTATTTAAACAATGCTCAGAATTTTCATCAATTGCTTTTCATGTATTTATTTTTAGGTGGTATTAGGGTTTGAGCTAGGGCCCCATGCTTACTAGGCAGGCAGATGTCTTATCACTTGAGGCAGACCGCCCCCCCCCCATCCCCTTTTGCTTTTGTTCTGTTTTTGAAAAGGGTCTTGTTTTTCTGCCTTGCCTAGCCAATATCAATCCCCTTATTTAAGCTTTCTATATAACTGGGATGACAGGGCTCAAATCGTGTTCTTTGCTTCCTGAGTAGCTAGGCTTATAGACGTGAGCTACTATACCTGGCTTATTACTTTTTACTTTTCATTTGTGTGTGTGTGTGTGTGTGTGTGTGTGTCCTGGTGTTTGAACTCAGAGCATAGGTACCATCCCTAAGCTTCTTTTTCTCAAGGTTAGCATTCCACCACTTGAACCACAGTGTATTTTGGCTTTTTTTTTTTTTTTTTTGATCATGGGGCTTGAACTCTGGGCCTGGGCACTGTCCCTCAGCTCTTCAGCTCAAAGCTAGTGCTCTACCACTTGAGCTCAGAGCCACTTCTGGTTTTCTGGTGCTTTATTGGAGATAAGAGTCTCACGGACATTCTTGCCTAATCTGGCTTTGAACTGTGATCCTCAGATCTCAGCCTCCTGAGTAGCTAGGATTACAGGCATGAGCCATGGGCTCCCAGCTACTTTGGCTTTTTTGGTAGTTTATTGGAGATAAGAGTCTCATGAATTAGACTCTAGCCTTTGAACCACAATCCTCAGATCTCAGTCTCCTAAGTAACTAGGATTACTGGCATGAACCACTGGTGCCTGGTTACCTTTGCTTTCTTTCTTTCTTTCTTTCTTTCTTTCTTTCTTTCTTTCTTTCTTTCTTTCTTTCTTTCTTTCTTTCTTTCTTTCTTTCTTTCTTTCTCTCTCTCTTTCTCTCTCTCTCTCTCTCTCTCTCTCTCTCTCTCTCTCTCTCTCTCTCTCTCTTTCTGTCAGTTCAGGGCCTCATGCTTCCTAGTCAGGCACTCTTCTGCTGAATCATAACTCCAGCCTCTTCATGTGCTGCTTATTTTTATTTATTTTTTGAGATAGGGGATCTTGCTTCATTCCTGCTACATGCCTGGACTTTAATCCTCTAATTTTTACTTATTTCAATAGCTGGTGTGACAGGTGCATGCGGCTCACACCCAACTTCTGTTGAGAATGGGCTCTTGAGGACTTTTTTTACCCAGGCTGGCCTCAAACTATGATTTTCTTGATCTGGCCTTCTAAGTATTTAAGATTATAGGGGCAAGCCACCAGTGTTCAGCTTTAATTTTTTTTTTTTGTATTTAGTAATTCACATACTTTTTAGAATTCATTAAAATAAAAAAAATTTAAGGTTTGGTTGGAGACATGACTTAAGAGATAAGAGTGTCAGCCAGCTAGTGAAATGTCAGATACCAAGTTCCAGTCCCAGTCTTAGACCAAAAAAGAAAAATGTCAAGTTCTACCTATACTCATTTCTTCAGATAAGGCCTATACTTAAGATGTTTACTATGTTTTATCTTATACTTCCTGTAGCACATTTTTTTCTGTTAGTACTTTCTTCCAGTTCCAGATCCTATTGGCAAATGAATACTAGATTTTACTTCTGCCCTATAGAGTTCTTATGATGGTAATGTTTGAAGGCTGCTTCAAGCACAAAATGTATTGAAAATAGATAGAATGAAAAGAGCCACTGTTGAAGCCTGCAGTGGAAAGTATGCACTATTTTTCTGTATCCCTGCACTACAACTTAACTATTGTTAACTTTACTTGCTTTCTAAGATGGAAGCTGCATTTTTGGTTTCCACACATTTATTGATAATTTCATCTAAGTGATAAATAGCTTCAGAATCAGGGCTAACATGTTGAGGTGAATGTATGTGTGTGTGTGTGTGTGTGTGTGTGTGTTTTACTTTTGTATAACTGATCATTGTTTCTTTTTCCATTCTTTAAAGTTAAATGCTTCTTTAAAAACGTTAGAAGGAGAAAGAAACCAAATTTACATTCAGTTATCTGAAGCAGATAAAACAAAGGAAGATCTTACAGGTAAAATTTTCCAAATAAATACATCTCCTTGTGGAGAATAAATTTATTAAATCAATTATGGAAAGAACAATTTCATTTTTTTCACTCTTGCTTTTATTGACTATTTGTAATAAATTAGTCCTAAGTTTGGTTGTTCTTGTAGGTAAAGCCATCTTATTTGGTCCTGTTTTATATGAAGTTAATGAAATAGTTTAAAAAATATGAAAAACTATGATTTAACTGTTATTATTTAATGTTTTTGCTAATTGCAAAATTGATCTTCAGTAATGCATTAATTACAGTATGGTTTGCATGCTTAATTAATATAAATGCATGTAGCTCATGATCACATATTGGAATGCTATTAGACCTGTAGAAATGAAGGTTTCTCTTTTCATTGAAAATATTTCTGTTATTGTACTGTCTGTATTTGTATTTTTTAAAAAAGTAAATAAAGTAAGGCACAATCACACATGTGTAACTCCAACTCCTCAAAAGATAGAGATTGGGAAAACTGTGTTGTAATGCCAACTAGGGCAAAGGGTTAGTGAGACCCCCATCTTAAGGTAGTCATGGTGGTGCGTTCCTTTGATCCTACTTAGATTGAAGGTCATAGATAGGATTGTAGTCTAGGCTACAATCCTGGGCAAAAATAGGAAACCCTTCCTGAAAAATAACCAAAGTATAATAGGCCTGGGTATGTAGCACATGTGGTAGAATGCCTGTGTGAGACCCTGAGTTCAAACCCAGTAATACTACCTCCACCACCAAAGAAAGTAAGTTCTTTATGCTGTTTGGAGTTTTACAAGTTGGTACACATCTCATTTTGAAAAATTAAACAATTCTAATATGTTTATAGTAAAAAATGCTAAGGACATAATTCAAATGTCAGCAATGGTTAAGCCTGAATATGGGATTGTGGGCAGATTTTTTATTTTATTTACTTTTTATTTTATTTTATTTTTTAGTCGGTCCTGGGACTTGAACTCTGGGTCTGGGCACTGTCCTTCAGCTCTTCAGCTAAAGGCGAGTGCTCCATCACTTGAGCCAAGTGCCATTTCTGGTTTTCTTGTGGTTAATTGGAGATAAGAGTCTCAGGGTCTTTCCTGCCTGGGCTGGCTTTGAACCATGATTCTTAGATCTCACCCTAGGATTAGAGGCCTGGCTTAGATTTTTTTTTTTTAAACATAACAGTTTTTTTTTTTAAAAGTCAGGGGCTGGGAATGTGGCTTAGTGGTAAAGTGCTTGTCTAACATGTATGAAACACTAGGTTCAATTCCTCAGTACCACATAAACAGAAAAGGCCGGAAGTGGTGCTGTGGCTCAAGTGGTAGAGTGGTGCTATCCTTCAGCAAAAGAAGCTCAGGGACAATGCTCAGGCTCTGAGTTCAAGCCCCAGGACTGGCAACCCTCCACCCCACCTCCCCCTGAAAAAACCCCAAATTTCTGTAATAGATGAACTATATAGTTAAAAAATGCTTGAAGCTGGGCACTGGTGGCTCATGCCTATAATCTTAGCTACTCAAGAGGCTGAGTTCTAAGGATCACAGCTGGAAGCCAGCCAGTCTCATGGAACAAGTCCATGAGACTCATCTCCAACGAACTACCAGAAAACCAGAAGTGGCACTGTGGCTGAAAGTGGTAGCGTGAGGGGAAAAAGCTCAGGCTCTGAGTTCAAGCCTCAGGACTGACTCTTCCAAAAATCTTCTATCTTCTTAACCTCCTTGAAAACTTTCTTTCTTTTTTTTTTTTTTGGTTGGCCATGGGGCTTGAACTCTGGGCCTGGGCGCTGTCCCTCAGCTCCTCAGCTCTTCAGCTCAATGCGAGCGCTCTACCACTTGAGCTACAGCGCCACTTCCGGTTTTCTGGAGATAGGAGTCTCATGGTCTCTCCTGCCCGGGCTGGCTTTGAACCGAGATCCTTAGATCTCAGCCTCCTGAGTAGCTAGGATTACAGGCGTGAGCCACTAGCGCCCGGCCCTCCCTGAAAACTTTCTTTCCTTTTAACTCCTCAGTTGGAAATTACATGTAAATATAGGATACTCTTATTAAATGTCTTGGGACTCTTTTAAGTAATAATATTATTTAATATTTACTTTTAAAAGATTTTATTATTTAAAAAACAAAGCAATGTAGCAAATTCCTTAGGTAAAATATTGAAAAGCATTTGGGTAGACAAAATATATTGCAGATTTTCTCTTGATGTTTGAGAAAGTTGATTGTTTTTAGTAATTTTTATCTTTCTGAAATAATCCTATGCAGCTCAAAATATTCACTCATTTCATAGTGACTTTTCAAAAATTTCTTTAGAGCAAATTAAAAGTCTTCAGGATGAACAAGTTTCTTTGCAGTCAGAAAACACAGAATTTGAAAGTGAGAACCAGAAGCTTCAGCAGAAACTTAAAGTTATGACTGAGCTGTATCAAGAAAATGAAATGAAACTTCACAGGTAATAAAAACTGTTGCTAGTTCCATTGAATGGCAGGTAAAGTAACTTTAAAAGTATATGTTGTTGTAAAAACCAGTGCCATGAGCAAAAAAAGTTGCTCATGCCTATAATCCTACTGACTGAGAACACAGAGATCTGAGGATAGCAGTTTGAAGTCATCCTGGGAAGGAAAGTCTGTGAGACTCTTACCTTTAATTAACCACCACCACAAAAAAAAAAAATCTGGATGTGGAGCTGTGGCCTAAGTAGAAGAGCACTAGTCTTCAAGATAAAAGGTTAGGGATAGCACCCAGGCCCTGAGTTCAAAACCCAGGACCGGTACAGACAGACAGACAGACAGACAGACAGACAGACAGACAGACAGACAGACAGACAGACACACACACACACACACACACACACACACACAGGACCGGTGTATACACACACACACACACACACACGGGATAGCGGATAGCACACACACACACACACACACACACACACACACACACACACACACACACACACACACACACACACACACACACACACACACACACACACACGGGATAGCGGATAGCGCCCAGGCCCTGACACACACACACACCATATGCTATGTATTAAGCAGCTATTATTATTAGATGTCCTCAGTTTACAGTTGGATTATACTTTTTAAGTTCTTTTTTTTATTTTTGTTGATCATGGGGCCTGAACTCTGGGCCTGGGCACTGTCCCTGTCCCTCAGCTCTTTAGCTCAAGACTAGTGCTCTACTAATTGAGCCACAGTGCATTTCTGGCTTTTCTTGCTTATGTGGTACTGAGGAATCAAACCCAGAGCCTCATGCATGCAAGGCAAGCACTCTACCACTGAGACACCTTCCTAGCCCCTTGTCAGTTCATTTTTAAGAAACTTAACTTGATTTTGAAATACTTTCTTCAAGGAAGTAAATGTAAAAGATGTTAGAAGATAATTCACAAAATCATTTTACTTCAAGTAAATAGTAATATTATTGCCTTAAACTTACTACTATTGGCTAGGTAAAAAAATCCAGTTGATGACTTGTGATGGACCCTTCTTTGATGATTAATTCCTTCTCCATCCTTCTCAAGCACATTACTCCTGCCTCGGTGTTCCTTGCCTAGTTGCTCAGGAAAGCTGTTCATCCCATTCCATGCCAGTTCTAGGGCTTGAACTCAGAGGGCTTGTGCTCATTTGGCTGGTGTTCTGCCACTTCCACCACATATCCAGGTCTTCTTTTTACTGGTTATTTTGGAGATGAAGTCTCACAAACTCTTCTGCCTAGCTGGCTTCAAACTGCTGTACTCTCAGCTTCCTGAGTAGTTAAGATTACCGGTTTGAGTCACTGCTGACCAGTGGCATTATCAAAGGGAAACTGAAACATTTTCTTACTCATGTCCAGTGAATTATGCTAATAATTGTTCTTCAGAGTAGAACACAGAGAAATTGATGGAATCAGTACAAATACTAGATTTATACTCTTGCCTGCAAGTGAGTGGACATTCAGTTTTTTTCCTAGATGTTGGCAGATGTTTTTCTGTGACTGATATATTGCTACTAGATTCACTACTTGTGAGTACTGTGCCTCAGTCCAGTTACAGTAGGTGCCACATGATCAAAACAACATGTCAATGGTAGTTGTCTAATTGGATCATATCACGTTACTGTTCTGTGCTGCCATGAGATGATGTGTCAACGTGGACCACATACGTAGTGGTAGTCTTCTCAGATTGTGTCATGTTACAGTCATGTGCTACATGATGACCTGTCACCTATGGATCTCATATATAATGATAGTCTCATAAGATTGTATCATCTACTGATGTCATAACCATCTGAGTTAAAGTACACTGTGATGTTCACATGATGATGGAATTGCCTGATTCATTTTTTTTTTTTTGTCGGTTGTGGGGCTTGAACTCTGGGCTTGGGTGCTGTCCCTGAGCTCTTCAGCGCAAGGCTAGCGCTCCACCACTTGAGCTACCACGCCACTTCTGGTTTTCGAGTGGTTTATTGGAGATAAGAGTTTCTGGAACTTTCTTACCCGGCTGGCTTGGCTGGCTTTGAACTGTGATCCTCAGATCTCAGCCCCCTGAGTAGCTAGGATTACAGGCATAAGCCACTGGTGCCTGGCGCCTGATTCATTTTTTTAGGATATCTCTGTAACTAAGCAGTGAATCACTGTTTCGTTTTCATTTTTGTAAAATAGGAATAATAGTAGAACCCTTCTTGTTGAGATGCCATAGTAATTAAGGAACACATGTGAAAGCTTAAGAGTATTTTCTGGTACACAGCAATGGCTTAGTAAATTTTATGTTATTATTAAGAGAACTAAAGTAAGTGGATTAGTGCTGCTATTAAGATTATGTGCTTTGTGATTATTCTATTATAATTATAAGGCTTGAAAGCCTAATCCCTATTTTTAACCACTAATTTAAAAATTACCCAAACACAATTTGCTAGTTCGTAGCTTCTTGTCTAACAAATACAATGCTTCTTTATACAGGAAGATGATAAATGATGTGTATCCTAGTAGTTTTTATGTATACTTACCTTGGATAATCTTATTTTGTGATAAATAAATATAAGAAACCCTTAGTACTGTTATACAAGCAGTCATAAATTGGGCAATTTGGATATTAAATTTGAATATTTATACTAAGACTATTCACACAGGAACTTTTTATTTTCTTGCATGTGATGTTCTTTGTGGAAACTTTTATGGGAAGAATCAATTTTGATAGAACTTAAAAGATATACTTGATTATAAATATTACATATATTTAAAAAATATTCTTTGTTTTAAGGAAATTAACAGTAGAAGAAAATTCTCGGCTAGAGAAAGAGGAGAAACTTTCCAAAGTAGATGAAAAAATAAGCTATGCTGCTGAAGAGTTGGAGAACTATAGGTAAGTTCTTCTGCTTTTGGGGAATGGGAAGAGTATCAAAAAACTTTTTTTTTTGGGGGGCTGGGAAGGTGGCTCAGTAGTAGAGCGCTTGCCTTGCATGCATGAGGCCCTGGGTTCGATTCCTCAACACCACATAAACAAACAGCCGGAAGTGGTGCTGTAGCTAAAGTGGTAGATCACTATCCTTGAGTTGAAGAGCTCAGGGGCAGCACCCAGACCCAGAGTTCAAGGACAAAAAAACAACAACAACTATTCACAAGTATGTTGGAAATGAACTTTACAACTTTGTGGGGAAAGTGGGAGAAAAATGAGAGAGGGAGTGATAATGTTTGACAATAAAATGTACTCAGTTACCTTATATAACTAACCCCTCTGTACATCATTTTTACACAAAAATTAAATTTAAAAAATGAGGGCTCTAAAAAAAACAACAAAAAACAACAGCAACAACAACAAAAAACCCCACCCAAAAACCAACAACCCAAAAACCCAAAAACAAACACAAAAGAAAAAACATTTTTTTCTGGTTGTTAAGGCTTGAACTCAGAGCCTCTTTGTGTTCAAGGCTAGCTCTCTACCACTTGAAACACAGGACCACTTCTCAAAAATAAACTTTATTTCATTTAGATTTCTTGCTATTGTTCACTTATCCAGAAAACATAAAATGAAGGGCTAGACCCAGGCACAGGTGGCTCATGCCTATGATCTCGCTACTGAGGAGGCTGAGATCTGAGGATTACACTTTGGAGCCATCCCAGGCAGGAAAGTCCATATTCTTAAACTCTAGTTAACCAGCAAAAAGCTGGAAGTGGAAATGTGGTTCAAGTAATAGAGTGCCAGCCTTTTAGCTGAAAGGCACAGAGACAGTGACCAGGCCCTGAATTCAAGCCTTCAGTCCTGACACCAAAAAGAAAGGAGAGCTGGGGATGTAGCTTGGTGGTGGAGCTCTTGCCTACCATGTTCAAGGCCCAGAGAGCTACAGCACCATACAAAACAGTGATACTAATTGCACGTTTGAGTGGGTACAGACTTAATTTTATGCTAACATCAAGAAGAGCAAGCCACAATTAGTGTTCTAAATAGGTGTTTATAAGTGTTTATCGTTTTTGGTTCAATGTTTGGCTGGGTCCAAGGAAATAGAAAAGCTGAGGGAAAAAAGAGGCAAGTCACAACAGTATCCTGAAGAGTGGTGATAGGGCATTTTTCTGTAGGAAGACCAAGCTTATGTTACAAACTGGTTTTATCTGAAAGAAGGAATTACCCTGTTAGTTTTATAAAGTTTTAGCAAGTTGCCAAGTGTTACCAAGTGTTTATTAGCATTAACAGATTTATGCAGGAAGTGGGAGTTAAGAATAATAACATTTTACCGCAGAAGTTGTAACATTTTTCATAACTCTACTACTGTTACAGATACTTGAATAAATCTTCCAGGGTCATGTTTCTTGAAAATAAAAACCCATTATGCTATATAAATCTTTGCATGTCCTTTGTTTTAGATAAGCCCAGTTACTAGTACTTTTAAGACTTAATTCAGGTTAAAAGTAGGTCAGGAAAAAATACACAGTATTTTAGAATCTCTCAGAGGTGATTATTTCTTAATTTATAGAGTTCTGGAGTGGTGGCCTCCCACCCCCAATGGAACTCCATACGTAGTCTGAAGTTTAAATTGAAATCTGGGTGGTTTTTGTTTTTGTTTTTTAGTGGAGAGTGTATACTATGATTTATTACATATTAATACTATAGTAGAATAATTACTTGATCCTTATAGAAAGCGAGCCAAAGACCTTGAAGAAGAATTGGAGAGAACCATTCATTCTTATCAAGGACAGGTATGTGTATGTATGTGTATAGGGAACTCTGTGTGTGTGTGTGATTTAAAACAATTCTGATTAGTCTGAATGTTGGTGCAGAGGTATCATTATTTGACCAGTGAAACAGCTATAGCACCTTGCTCGTGGTGCTTCTGTTATTTGGAACATTTCTGGCACCAAAGATTCTGAAATGAAGAAATCTTATTTAGCTAAACATGAGTGGCATATGTCTATAATTCTAGCTACTCAGGAAGTTGAGATCAGAAGGATTGTGGTTAAGGAAAGTTTTAAAGAGACTTGATGTCCAATTAACCAGCAAAATACTGGACTGGAAGTCTGGCTCAATTGTTAAGCGTGCCATGTATGAGCAAGAAAGTCAAATTAGAGCTCAAATTCAAGCCCTAGTACTGGCATTAACAAAACACTTAATTTCAAAGGTTCCTGTTTCTTTGGGAATGGGTTATATCATAGAAATCAGCAGATATCAGCATTGGAAGCTCAAATTAGGCTAGTTATCTGTTCATTGAAAACTCTTGTTCTAGAAGATTACTGCATAATGTAGAAGTTTGCTAGCAAAATTGTATTTCATTATTTCTGTGTAAACATTATGATGGAATGGATTATGTCTACGTGAAAATTTAAATATATTGCTTGCTGACTCTTCACAGTTGATTGGATATTGTTGATGGGTTTTGCACTAAATTTTAGCGGTGCTATGAATTGTTTTTATTTAGGAAAACCATTGTTGGTAACTTTCTTTTTCAGATTATTTCCCATGAGAAAAAAGCACACGATAATTGGGTAAGTTTAAAATTCTTCAAGGCTCTTTTGTAAGAACTACTCATTTAAATTAGGTGAAAATTGTCAGGCATCATTGGCTCATTCCTGTAATCCTAACTACTCATAAGGTTGAGATCTGGAGGATCATGATTCAAAGCCAGCCTGGGCAAAAAAATCAGAGACTCCATCTTCAGCTCAGTAGCAAAAGCTAGGGTATAGTTGAAAAGCTGGAGGTACAGCTCAAGAATAGAGATCCTACCTTGCAAACCCCACATTCAAACCCCAGTACTACCAGAAAACAAAAATTAAATAAGTCACTTTCTATTAAATTACCAGTGGCAAAATTGTGTTAAAAATTCAGATCTTGGGTGCTGGGAAGGTGGCTCAGTGGTAGAGAGCTAGCCTTGCATGCTTGAGGCCCTGGGTTCAATTCCTTAGCACCACATAAGCAAAAAGAAAAAAGCCAGAAGTGGTGCTGTGGCTCAAGTGGTAGAGCGCTAGCCTTGAGCTGAAGAGCTGAGGGACAGTGCCCAGGCCCAGAGTTCAGGCCCCATGGCTGGACCCAAAAAAAAAAAGAAAAATAAAAAAAAATAAAAAAAAGAAGTATGCATCAACACCAATGATGTATTTGTACTTTTTGATATGTAATCGTATGTATATTAAAAAAGAATCCTATTGTAGCTTACTATTGTTAATTTGCTTTTTTATTTAATCCATCAGATATTTTTCTGTGAATGCTAGGTTGTTTGTAAAAACCTTTTTCAGATGATGGACATTTTAGTTTGCTTTTCTTTTCTTTTCTTTTTTTTTTGGGTCCAGTTTTGGGGCCTGAATTCTGGGCCTGGGCACTGTCCCTCAGCTCTTCAGCTCAAGGCTAGCGCTCTACCACTTGAGCCACAGTGCCACTTACGGCTTTTTTCTTTTTGCTTATATGGTGCTGAGGAAACGAACCCAGGGCCTCAGGCATGCAAGGCAAGCGCTCTACCACTGAGCCAACTTCCCAGCCCCTGCTTTTCTTTTTTTATGTATATAGTTTTAGATGTTATTTTTTCCGTTTAGCATTTCTTTGCTTCATCCTGTTTGATTTAATCTTTTATTTCCATCAAACTAATATAGTACTTTGTTTTTACATGTCCTGTGTCAAGTATCCTGTGCCTTTTTTTTTTTCTTTTTTGGCAACAAGGTCTCACTAGGTTACTTAGTGTAGCCTCAAATTCTCTGTTCTCCTGCCCTAGTCTCCTGAGTTCTGGGATTACAGGCAGTACTCAGGAGACACCTTGAGTATCCTGGCTCAAGTGTCCTATTTATTCTTTATTGTAAGCATCCATATTTGTTGTAACTACAATAGTTTTTCCTTAAGTAATTTCGTATAGTAATGCTTTGTACATTAGAAGTGTATAATATTTGAATATGGCGTGGCATTCATTGAAATTGCACTTCAGTCTTTGGCAGTAAGTTTTTCAAAAGTCTGTAATCATGTATTACCAACTCATTTTATACTATATTTTTTGTACTATGTCTTTAATGTTGATAGCTTATTAAGTGAGCTCTTATTTCTTATACTTAAGTATGTTGTGTAGACAACATAATTTTGGTTTTACATTGTTAACAGTGAAATGAATTGGAATTTTTGTAACATTCTTTTGTTTGTTCAGAATTATATGATTGTATGCTAGAAAAGATTTATCTTCATTGATAGTGCCATAGTACATTTAAACTGCTTATGTGATATATTCATTAGCCAGTTAAATGCATAGTATACAGTTTTAAGTGAAGCAAATTTGATGATGGAGCTCTTTTTATTTGTGAAGAGATGTGATTAGATCAAGTTAAGCTTTGTCTGATAAGACTAGTGGTCTAATGTTTCATACGCTACTGCATCTGATCTGCAGAGCCCCCAGAACAACTGGGAATCGTGCAGTGCACTCTGTACTTTTATCCCTTGTTAACAACTATTGGGCAATATTGTATGTTCTTGGTATTTATTATAAATGTAAGCCAGGCATGGCAGTACACACCTGTCATCCCAGCACTCTGGTGACTAAGGCAAGAGGATCATGAGTTCAAGGCCAGCCTGGGCAAGACTTCTCAAAAACAAAGAAACTCCAAACAATAAGTAACATGAAATTCAGGCTGGGAAAGTGGCTCAGTGGTAGAGTACTTGCCTTGCATGCATGAGGCCCTGAGTTCGATTCCTCAGCACCACATAAATAGAAAAAGCCAGAAGTGGTGTTGTGGCTCAAGTGGTAGAGCACTAGCCTTGAGCTAAAGAGCTGAGGGACAGCGCCCAGGCCAAGTTCAAGCCCCATGACCAAAAAAAAAAAGAACATAAAATTCAAAATAAAACTAGTAAAATTAAAAATAAGCTTTATTTCATGTCTATCTATCTTTTCTTGATGTTATTAACTTTTAAAAAATCAAATAGAAATATTAAAAAAATCATAAAACAAACCAGGCATGGTAGAACATACCTGTAATTCCAGTACTCAGGTGGCAAAGACTATTTAAGTTAGCGGTTAGCCCAGGATATATAGTGAGACTCTTGTCAAAAAAACCAAAAAAAGGGGCCGGGAAGGTAGCTCAGCGGTAGAGTGCATGCCTCGCAAGCATGAGGCCCTGGGTTCGATTCCTCAGCACCACATAAACAGAAAAAGCCGGAAGTGGCACTGTGGCTCCAGTGGTAGAGCGCTAGCCTTGAGCTGAAGGGCTGAGGGACAGTGCCCAGGGCCAGAGTTCAGGCCCCATGACCGGCCAAAAAAACAAAACAAAACAAAAAACCAAAAAAAGTACAACCAACAAAGAGCAAAAAAGAACATTTTGAGGAAGATTGTAGTTGAGAAGAGCCTGGACAAAAAAATTAGTTGTACCACATCTGAGCAAATTAGATGTGCATAGTGATGTGTTCATGTGATCCCAGCTATGCAGGGGCATAGATAGATAGGAGGATTGCAGTCCCAGCACTGGCCTTGTTCATAAAGGCGAGCTCCTATCTGAAAAATGAAGTTAAAAAAAGATAAAGGCCTGGGGGTGTAGAGTACCACCCTTGCATGTGTGAGGCTCTGTGTTCAAACCCCCCAGTACCATTCTCTACCCCCAAAATTGATTGAACAAATACAAATGACGTAGAGGCCTGCTACCTGTATACTGTCTAGTACTGAGTAGATGTGTAGTGTGCAGTGAGTTAGCCATTTAAAAAGATGATCCATAGTAGCATGCTCCTATTTTAGACTCTATAATTTTTCAGAACTATAGTGATTTTTCTCCTGAGATGATTAGATTGTTTCATAGCTAATGCAGCTACACATAGTGACCTGGGGCTTGTTGCCATGGCCTGTGTTATTTGAGTGTGTACATTACTGCAGAATGCTACCTGTGATTTTGTACCCATACAATAAACTGTCATTGCAATACTCAAAGTCCAGCCCTTGGCAAGTATCTTCTGCTTATATAAAAAACTGAAGTGCTTTACATCTTGTTACTGAAATTGATACTGATTTAAATGATTGTGATATTTATATACCACCGCTGTGATCTTTATGAAAACCCTATCAAGTTATATGAATTTTTTAAAGTGTGTTTGTGTGTTTTTTTTAAAGTTGGCAGCTCGGACTGCTGAAAGAAACCTCAATGACTTAAGAAAAGAAAATGCTTACAACAGACAAAAGTAAGTATCTTAGTAGGAGCTTAAAAATTTTATTGTTATTGTATTAACTAGGTATACTTTTATAAAAGTAAATAAAAAACCTTGTAATGAATCCAGCCTATCTGTTAGCTTTACCTGGTGTGACCTGCTACCTTTTTTTTTTTTTTTTTTTTTTTTTTTGGTTGTTTAAAATGCTCACCTTAGAAAGATCACTGAAGTGGCACTTAAAGAAAATAGGTCACAGGTTCTTCTGTGAAACGTGTACTTTGTAATTTTTTTTTAAAGTTAAACCAGTGTAGGTGGGGGGAAAGGAGGAAAGAGAAAGGATAAATGCCTTAGACAGTCATGCTCAGGTCGTCACCACCTTCCTATGGCTAGTAGATAAGCACACATGTGTCTTACCCCTTCATCTTGTTTTTTGTTATATTGCGTGGTCTTGTACTTAGATAAGATGAAAAGGAAAATGAAAGTTGCAATAGGAGGGAAGAGTTAATGGTTGTTACAGATTCCTGAGAGTGTTCTAGTCTCTTGTTGAACTATTAATGTTGTTGAGAACTAGTTTTAGTCTTCTGGCTTGTCTTTTCCACTCTCAGAAATTAAGATAAATGGTTGTTTTATTTCAACTCTGATGATCACAAAACACAAATAAGATTCCTTTACCCTGTCATATTTTAAAGGTAAAAAGTTTAAGAATGAAACAAAAAGACAAGTCAGTGGGATTTTCAGTTTCACATTAAGTTTGGAATCAGATGCATCCCATTGTAATGGAAAGTGCTGGGTTTTAATCTTGACATTTCCCAACAAGTCCCATCCTCATGTTCCTTCATTATAAAATAACAGAATTATACTGGCTGACCTTGGAGGGTTCCTCCACTTCAAAAATGTGGATTAAAAAAACAAAGTACTCATTGAAATAAAATATCTTGATTTTTTTTTTTTTTTTTTTTGGTCCGGTCGTGGGCCTGAACTCTGGGCCTGGGCGCTGGCCCTTGGCTCTTCAGCTCAAGGCTAGCTCTCTACTGCTTGAGCCACAGTGCCACTTCCGGCTTTTTTCTTTTTTCTTATGTTGCTGAGGAGTCGAACCCAGGGCCTCATGCATGCAAGGCAAGCGCTCTACCACTGAGCCACCTTCCCAGCCCCTTGATTTTTTTTTTTGGTAAAGAATTGAAGAAGGAACAAAACAATTCTGAACCTCAATAAGATGTTCCTATCTTTAGATAGTCAGAAACTGGTTACCTCAACATAAGTAGTGGGAGATAATAGGAAAGTGTTTTCATCAGAACAGTTGTGGAGGATCTATTTCTATTAGGTAGATAAATTAAGGGTAAAAGAGGGGCTTATTTTGTAGTGAAATTTTTCTTAAAATGTGGATACTTCTGGATGAATAACTTAGAGATTTTTGTCTTTTATTCGCAGATTAACTGAAACAGAGTTTAAATTTGAACTTTTAGAGAAAGATCCTTATGCACTTGATGTTCCAAATACAGCATTTGGCAGAGGTAGTCTTTTATTTTTTTATAACCCCTTCTGTAAAATCCATATTACATGTATATGTATATATTGCAGTATAGTTTAATTAGTGCTCATTAGCACTATTATTTATAAATCTTAGATTTCAGAGCCAGGATTCTATTTTAAACTGTCTCACAAACTACAGATTTCTGGATTTTGTTTCCCTAGCAATAATGAAAATTGTTAGTATTTCTTTCTTAGTGGAATTTTGTAAGATAATGTATATGTAGTACTGTTAGTTCCTTGAAAAGTCAAATGCTTAGCATTCAGAAAGGTACTCAGTTACTATTTTTTTTTTTTAAGAATGAACAAGGAGTATTTCCATGGAATAGCATTATGACTTTTTATACATCCACTGTAATATTTACATGGGTTATAAAAATAAGAATTAAACTAGCTTAAAATTATTTAAAAGTATGTAAAAGGTAGAGAAAACTTAATCTGAGTTTTGGTTGCTTTAATTGCTCTGTGGGAGGACCAGGGACTTGATACATTTAATATTTTTGTCCATTCCTTATTGAGAGTATCTTTAGTGATTTTATGCTATTCCAAATAGTTCAAAGTTTTTAAAACTTTGGTTGAATTGAAATTAAGCTTCTGTGGTTGTGAAAATAAATCATATAGATTGAATTTTAATAACTTCTGGAAAGTTATAAAAGTCATGTATGAGAGACAACCTTCATTAAAATTAAAGTTATTCTACATGAAAAAAGATAATAATGATTTTCAAGTAATGACACAGCTTGAGTAAGGACCTATACCAGTATAACTGTCTAAGGCCAGTACAAGAATCCCAAGGAGGGCAAATAATGCTTTATTTCCTTATTTTTTTGGTAACTGAACTGAGTATTATAACATTTCATGAGGCCTAGCATGTTTAGGAAATTATTGTTTTTAGTGTCAATGAAATTTGCTTGAATGATTAAGTTTGTAAAATGCTAAGTGTCTGGAATATTGAGTACAGAGAAAGTGATTTATTGGATGAAACAGAAAACATAAATTGATTTGTATCCTGTAAAAATTCAGAAAGTAATTTGTGATGCTTCAAAATGTTTTTTTCATTTTTCTGCATAAAAAAGTCTGAGCCCAAATGGCCCAAATGGCCTATCTGCTGTGATTTAAGTTGAGCACTTCCAAGTTCAATGCTTCACCAGCTGAAATGTCTGGAAGCATATTGCTTCCAAGAAACCTCACGTCTTCAAAGTCCTCCCATAATTTCAAAATATCACCAGTGTCCTTTGTTTAACCTGTAGGATTATTTATGGGTATTACTTGCCAAGAAGTAATTTTATTGACTAAAACCAGGTAGACAAAATTAAAACCATATTTAAGTCAATCCTGTGGATCCTGTATTAGCAAATCCAAAGGAACTGAAATCAGAAGTTAGTAAATTTTAACTTACATTGGCAACAGGATGCCCTGCAATGGTTTAAGTGGAATTCTCACTTTATCATAGAGCTGACTGCAACTATGAATTTAAATATGCTGTTTTGATATTCCAGAGCATTCCCCATATGCTCCTTCACCATTGGGCCGACCTTCGTCTGAAACGAGAGCTTTTCTCTCTCCTCCAACTTTGTTGGAGGGTCCACTCAGACTCTCACCTTTGCTTCCAGGGGGAGGAGGAAGAGGTATATTGTTTAAATATTTTTATTACTCTACATTTCTTCCTTCTTTTATATTCATTTCAATCCATCTTTTATATTCATCCCTTTAAAATGATCCATAAAATAATCATTTGGAAAATACAGGCATTCCTTGCACTTATGTTGACTTAGTTTATCTGCTCTCCCTCTCCCCCCAGGATCTCTACAACATATAGGCTTTCTTAGAAACAGTATAGTATGGGTTTGAGTATTCCAGCTTTGACTATCTGAAATCCAGAAATTTTGTGGTATAGTCTCAAATGTTTTTGGATTTTTAGAGCATTTCAGATTTCACAGTTTTGGATTTGTGATGTGGACTCACCAAATCTCTATATTTGTTCCAAATCCAAAGGAAAAAAGGATGAAACAAAACAATTCCCCCAAACTTCAAAATCTGAACGACTTCTGGTCCCAAGTATTTCTGATATTTGGTTTGTACTAGATTACATTTTTATTAGCATATATTATTACAAGGAGGGATTTCATTGTGATATTGCCATGCATATATGCAATATATTCTAGTTGATTACCCCCTTCTCTCTTAACTCTCCCTCCTGATTTCAACAGATTTCATTGTTCTATTTTCATACTTGCTGACAATCTATTTTGACTGTATATATATCCTCTTTTACCCTTGTTAGCCCAACTCTTCTTGATAGTACCCTCCCTCCAAACGTATTTTTCTTTTCTCTTTCCGTGGATTACGTTTTGTTCTCTCCTCCCCTCCCTTCTTCCTCCCCTCCCCTCCGCTCTCCCTGCCTGCCTGCCTAACTGCCTGCCTGCCTGCCTGCCTGCCTACCTTCCTTCCTTCCTTCCTTCCTTCCTTCCTTCCTTCCTTCCTTCCTTCCCCTCCCCCCTCTTCTTCCCCTTTCCTTCCCTTCCTCCCTCTTTTCCCTCCACTCCCTCCCCTCTCTTTATTCTCAGTATCTTTTTATTGGAAAAGAAGGAAGTGTGATATTGCCATTTACCCTTTGCCTATTTCCTAAAGTGTTTCATTTGATTAAAAAAAAATTTTTTTGTCCTAGTTTGCTTCATGGGGAACTGTTCTCTCCTATCATCCCAGTCATCTGCAAATGGGGTGCATGCACAGTCCAGGTTCTCCTGGGAGAACCTTTGTACTCTGCATTGACACTTAGGAAGAAGAGTCGAAGTATTATTGACTTACAGTAAGAAATCATATTATGCCAGGCACTGATAGCTCATGCCTATAATCCTAGCAACTAAGGAGGCTGAGATCTGATCACAGTTCAAAGCCAGCTTGGGCAGGAAAGCATGAGACTCTTATCTCCAATAAACCACTCAGAAAACTAGAAGTGAGACTGTTATCTCCAATAAACCATTCAGAAGATGGAAAGTGGTGCTGAGGCTCAAGTGATAAACTGCTAGCCTTGAAAGCTGAAGAGCTGAGGGACAGCACCCAGGCCCAAAGTTCAAGCCACACGGCCAACAACAACAACAAAAATTACACACTAACATAACAATATGTGTGAAACTAAGTACACGAAATAGTACTTACTATTCATTTTTTAAAAAAATTAGCATCAAGTAATTGTGCAAGAGTTTCATATCAAAATATTCATTTATGTATACAGACAGAGCATATCTCTTGTCATTTTCTCTTCTCTCCTTCTTCCCAGATCAATCTCAGCAAGATTCATTGTTTCAATTACATGCATATAAAGTGTTTGGCCATATTCACTCTCCCTTAAAAATCTTTATCTTTAGTGATAATGGAGTTCAAACTCAGGACTTCACATTTGCAAGGAAGGCAATCTTCTACTGAGTCACACCTCCAACTCTGTTAGTTCTGGTGTTTCTGATGTTATCTATTCAGGTTTATACCACTTCACTTAAAAAAAGAATGCTTATTAGGACTAAATTAATTCACATACCACAACAGTCTAAAAAATAATGCCCTGTAAATAGGATATAATTGATTAAGCTATAAGCATGAATTACTGGAATTTTTATTACAGAAGTCAAGGATTGCTTGTAGTCAAATGAATATTTGAAATAAGAGTAAAATGTACCTTTTATTTCTCCCCTCCTATTTAAATTCCTTTTCCTATTTTATTGCTTTCAAGATAGAATGCAAAAGCATTTTACTATTTGTTTAAAAAACTACAGAAGCTTGGTAAGTCATTAGTGGGTTTTAGAAGTTGCTTTGGACTGAAAGTTTCTCTGCTCCACTAAATAAAGATGAAGTGTTGTCCTTTCTTTTTATTATGCTTTTAAGATTTAGGCTAGGATAGGATATATGTTTTGAATAAGCATTAAGTGTGGGTAACTTTTAGTCTCTATGAAAATACTTGAAAGGTTACTATTTTCAAGTTTGTAATTTTCACTTGTCATTTGGTGTGGTGAAACTTTGGAATTTTGGTAGTTAGTCCTCAGGAGAAAGTTTTTGAATGTATCCTTTAAAGCTTCCTGCTTCCCTCCAGGTTAACTTAGCATAACTGACTCTTGAGTGGTCTCTGCTTTTCTGAGCTTTCTAGTGAACTAAATAGAAGGATGAACAAACTAGAAGGAAAGATCTGGAGAACTTGATAAAATCTATAATCATAAGGAAAAATGGCATTTCATCTTCTCACATAAATCAGTTTCTGGGAGGAGGGGAAGGAGGAGTTGGGGAGGAGGGAAGGAAAGGGATGGTAGGGGAAAAATAAACGAAGGTGTAACAATGAAAAGAAAAAAGGAAACTTTTTTTTTTTAACAACAACAACAAAAAAGTCAGTTTCTGCCAGGAGTGGTGATATATAGCTATAATCTCAGTACTTGGGAGGCTAAGGCAGAATGAGCATGAGCTCCAGAACAACCTGAGCTACATAGAAGAACCTTCTCAAAATCCCCCTCCCTGCCAAAAAAAATTCAATTAATCTAACCCTACAAAAGAAGGGGGATGGGAAAAATTAAAAGATCACTATATGATATAAAATGATTGTGCTAATTTTTACAAGCTATAAGAAAAATTGAAACTGGCAAGGAATGTGGCTGAGTGGTAGAGTGCTTGCCTAGCATGCCTGAAGCCCTGGGTTCCATTCCTTGGTACCACATTAACACAAAAAAAATAAATAAAATTATTAAACTGGCTCAGCTCAGGAGGCAGAAAGGCACAGTGGGTTTGAAAAAAAAAAGAAAAGTTGGAACTAATTTTAGTCTCTCTTCTTGAAGGCACTGAAATGGAAGAAGCATTTTAGATTTAGCTCTGCACCAAAAAGTTTTTGGGGGCTATTATTCGAAAAGAATAAGATTTTATTTTTTGAAAATATAATTTCAGGTCATATAAACATATTTAGATAATATGGTATTTGTATTATCTAAATATAATTGTGTATTATGTTTTATAGAATAAGCAAATTAACATAAATCATTTATAATTGCATGTTGTTATAATACATTATATTAATACATTATGTATTATAAATGAACATTTGATTATATATTATTTATGTTATATTAATATAATTTTCTGTAGAATATACACGTTATGTCATATGAAATACATTATACATATAATAAATATGTATAAAACAACATACATTGAATGTAATAATGTATGTGGCAGTGCATATTCTATATAAAATATAATTTAAATGCCTTCCTTATTAAATAATAGAAATATTATGTACAATTATGTATAATTGTCTTTTACAGTTACTAGAGCATTTAGAAACCTAATTACCCTCTGAATGAGAGCTGAATAGGCTATGGGTTTTTTTTTATGGGATGTTTAACATTTCTTACATTTCTCTTTTCCATTTTAATTGAATATAGGAGCTTAATAAAGGTCCTGTGGTCATATGAAGAAAAAATTAAAACAATTTCCTCTTTATAAGTGTCAGTATGTCAGATTTTCTTAACAAATGGCTGTTCATGTTCTTTAAAATATTTATTTTAGTAGTTTTTGAAACTTATGGACCTGTCTTCAGAGCTCATGAAATTTCCTTTAGACTGTGAATTTGACACTTTTAAATTATTTAAAAAAGCCATTTGGAGCCAAATATATCTTATGAGTATAGTTTTTGTTTTTGTTATTTTGTCAGTCATGAGGCTTGAACTTAGGGACTGAGTGTTGTCCTTGAGCTTTATCACTCCAAGCTAGTGCTCTACCACTTTGAGCCACAGCACTACTTCCAGTTTTCTGGGAGTTAATTGGAGGTAAGAATCTCACAGACTTTCCAGCCCCAGCTGTCTTTGAACTGCAATCCTCAGATCTCAGCCTCCTCAGTAGCTTGGATTACAGGTGTGAGCCACCAGCACCTGGCTGAGTATAAAGATTTAATAAACTTGTTTAAAATAACTTTTGGGTAGAAGTAGTGAGTCATATTTCAACATTGATTGCAAATTTTGGTGTGAATTAAGTTAATCCAAGTATGGCACACTTTCAAAAGAGTTGTCTTAAGGGGCTGGGAAGGTGGCTCAGTGGTAGAGTGCTTGCCTTGCATGCCTGAAGCCCTGGGTTCAATTCCTCAGCACCACATAAGCAAAAAGAAAAAAGCTGGAAGTGGCACTGGGGGTGAAGTGGTAGAGTGCTAGCTTTGAGCTGAAGAGCTGAGGGATAGCTCCCAGTCCCAGAGTTCAGGCCCCATGACCGGACTCCCCCCAAAAAAAAACAACAAAAAAAAAGAATTGTCATAAAAACTGCTTTTTTTAACAAAAATATTCAAATAGGTCTATAATCCCCTAAGATAACCGAAAGTATTCTTTTTTCATTATTGTCATACTTAAGCAACAAAATCCCATTTTGTAATCATCTTACTAAATCTTGTATAGAGATCTTACTTCACAATTTATTTTTCAGATAACATTTAAGTGTTGATGATGGTGACATTGTTTTTTATATTTTATTTTATTTTTTTTTAAACCTTTTCTTTTTTCTTTTTCTTTTTTTTTTTTTTGGTCAGTCGTGGGGCTTGAACTCTGGGCCTGGGCGCTGTCCCTCAGCTCTTCAGCTCAAGGCGAGTGCTCTACCACTTGAGCTACGGCGCCACTTCCTGTTTTTTATATTTTAAAATGAATCTTGTAGGCAATTTTTTTTTTTTTTTTTTTGTCAGTCGTGGGGCCTGAACTCTGGCCTGGGCGCTGTCCCTCAGCTTTTCAGCTCAAGGCTAGTGCTCTACCACTGAGCCACCTTCCCAGCAGTATTTTTATCTACATACAAAATTATTCTTCCTTGGAAATGACTGCTAGGATAAAACTGAGAAAACTTAGTTAGAATCTGTTTTCACTCTCCAAAGAATATCTTAATTTTCTTTGATGATAGGTCATTTGTAACACTTTTTAAGATAAGCTGATTTATTTGGCTTTTTTCTTTAATTAGGCTCAAGGGGCCCAGAGAATCCTCTGGACCATTCAATTAGCAATGAAAGGGGAGAATCAGGATATGATAGGTTGATGGATCCCCACAGAGCACCTTCTGACACTGGGTCCCTGTCACCTCCCTGGGAACAAGACCGCAGGATGATGTTCCCACCATCAGGTATGTAGAAACAGTCATTATTATTGATATTTGGAAGGCAGCGAGGATGTGTTTCATGTACTAAGAAGAATATATGTGTTTTCCCTATCAAGAAAGTGGAGCTTCCAAGTGCTTCATTTTTCTTGACATGTCTAGGTCATCAGCTGAGGAAAATGAGGATGAGGAAGAGATTTGAAGAGAGAGAAAATGGAGACAGTAGCCATCTGGGAGAACAGAGAAGGAAGTTATTAGTGTAGTACTGTATGATTACATAGTGTATCAGAAGCAAATATCAGTGCCATGTAGTGCGTTATTGAGCATCAGTCAGAACAGTAAACTTAATTATCATTAGTTAGTTTTGGGTGCTTATTTTGTACCAGACACAATGGTAAGTGCTTTTTATTAGTCATTCTGTTTCTCTCAATTTACAGATGAGTAAACAATGACACAGAGGGGTTAGTTGGGCAGCCTGCTGAAAGTTTCAAGTGAGATTATGTAGCACAATCTTCTATATGATTTTTGAGAATTTGCGTATTAATATTTGCTTCAGATATGTATAAGTGAAAATATAAAAAGAAATATATTATAAATTGTTAATAGCCTAAGAAGTATACATGTGTAAGACATAAAAAGAAATGACTTGAAGTCTATTTCATTTTTTTTCTTGGGCACATTCCTAAAGACAACTGCTCATGAATTTAGTATATGTGAACTTCCGTCCATGTATGATTTTTTTAAAAAAAACTTGGTATTAATCAGCTTTACTCATCTGCATTATGTTCTCGAATTCTATGATAGTATGTGTAAATTTTATTACTTTCATATGGCATAATATTTCAATATATAAACAAACTCCACAATATTCATATGCGTATTTTATTTTTCTGAATTTCAAGAGGTTGTAGAAAGGGGTTAAATTTAACATGTTCATATGTATAATTTCTCTTGAGGAAAATTTAGTGAATCCAGTGTTTTGTTCATTGATGACAGAACTTCACTTAACACTTTATATGTTCATTCTGTACATTTGTCTAGGAAACAATTGCTGAGTAAGAGGGTATCTATCTTTTCATCTTTTTTTTGCTTGTTTTTTATTTTATTTTATTTTATTTTTTGTGAACATACTGTACAGAGGAGTTACAATTACATGGGCGTACATTTCTTATCAAGCATTGCAGCCTCCTCCTTTGTTTACCCTTCACATCCCTTCCCAGCCTCCCCCCTCCCCCCCACCCAATCATATCCCCCTCCCCCCCTATCTTTTTATCTTTAATAGGTCTTACCCCTTTGTCCTCAGGAGAACAAAACTGTGAGAAAATGTAGATGTTTTTCCAGGATAATTCTTAATTTGGGAAGCTGCAGAAAGCCCTGCATTTATTCCCATTCCTCATTTCTTTGCTTTCTCTCATTGTTTTCCTTCTGTTACCTTTCTTTTGAATCATCTCTCATGAAAGCTAGGGGTGGGGGGGGGCGGGAATAACAGCAGTGCTTATCTTTCACTCATGGTGTGCCTTCTGTGGGGTTTTATCTTATAATGTATGTACATATACACTGTGTGTGTGTGTGTGTGTGCGCGTGCGTGCGTGCATGTGCACATGCATGCGCAGTATCTCTTTATTTGTCTATCTTTTCTTTCAGGGTAAAGTTTACTGCCTCTTTAACATTTCTGGTTCCTCCAATCAGAATTAGATAGGCCATCTCTTATATTATTCATATTCTCCTTTATAAAAACATCAAGCATTTTATATTTTGTTCATTTTGGTTAACATTAGGCCACAAGGGCAGACTATACTGGTACCAACATCATATTGCTAGTACCTGCCACATAACAAGTCCTGAATTTAAGGAATGGATCATGGCAACATGGGCATATGAGTTATAAAATGGTAAATTTGTAACAGTTTCTGTTGTAAATGTATGAGGTTGCTGATGCTGTAGAGATGTGTTTTTGAAGCAAAATATTAATACAGTGACTTGAGACTTGACTAAGAAAGAATTAGAAGTTCTCAGGTTTTCCATTTCATATCTTGTTCAGTTTTGCCATTTAATGAATCCCTTGTTTGAAAGAAGAAAGGAAGAACTTGGTTTTGATCTCAGTGATTAGTACCAGCTTTTGCTTTTACCACACCAATACTTTTACCTATTAAGACAACTCTTTGCTTAAATTCTGAGTGGTGGTATAAATGAGCCTTCAGGACTATCTGCATCTTTCTTTGCTCAGTCATATCTTCTCACCCTTGGGAACTCACTAAGTATAATTCTCTCCATTGGCCCTTGTTGATGCTAGCAGGTTTCTTTGGCTTTGTCAGGGCAAGATGTCTCCATAGAGTTTGGTGTGGTTGAGTCAGGGGAGGATTGATATTATGTGGCATTATGAACCACAGCCTTTGAGAATCTTGGAAAGCAATTTAGAGCTGTATGTTCATATGTATAACAGGATAGGAGAGAACTGCACAATTTACCTTCTTTGACTCTCTTCTCTCCCTGATTTCAACATTGGACATAGGTTTACCTAGCCTAGCGAACTCTGCCATTGCCTCTTAAGAATGACATTAACTCTCTCTCTATATATATTTTTTTAATTAATTAATTTTTTTTGGTCCGGTCGTGGGGCCTGAACTCTGGGCCTGGGCACTGTCCCTCAACTCTTCAGCTCAAGGCTAGCGCTCTACCACTTGAGCCACAGCACCACTTCCAGCTTTTTTCTTTTTGCTTATGTGGTGCTGAGGAATCGAACCCAGGGCCTCAGGCATGCAAGGCAAGCACTCTACCACTGAGCCAACTTCCCAGCCCCTATATTTTTAATTTTTAAAGAACATTTTTGTTATTGTAAGTGACTCCTGGAACCTAGGAGTGTGTCTGTAGATGCACTGAGGCAGTGTCTGTATCCAGATTTGTCTGTAACTCAGCAGTCAGAACCTTGTGTTAATCTACTCAGTCAGATCTTTCTATTTAGCTTGGATGGATGCTAAGTTCCAAAATTTTGAATAAGGGAGAACCATGGAAGAGGTGACATTGATCAAGATGCAGTGTACTGATAAATTGTTATGTTGAAACCCCTTTGTACAACTACTTAAAGATAATAATAAAATTAAAAAATTAAAAAAAGACCTTCTCCCCAAAATTTGAACTTGGTGAAAATCTGACCATTGAAGACTTGTTACACTCTTTGTGTTTTGGTGATGAATGTTACCTGTTCTGTAAAGTTCCCTCCTTAGTCTTTTTGATATTTTGCTATATCTAATTTGAACTGTTATTAATTAAAAGCTAAATGAATTTGTCTATTTTTTAATTTTTGTTATTTCACGGTATTGAGGTTTGAACTCAGGGCCTTGCACATGCTTGAAAGTTGCTGACAGTCCTGTTTTTTGTCTAAATTTAAGTTTATATCAATGAAGACAATTTTAAAAACTTGTTTTCTAGGTCAACCATATCCTGACGCAGCTCTTCCCCTACAGAGGCCAGACAGATTTTATTCTAATTCTGGTAGATTATCTGGACCAGCAGAACTTAGAAGTTTTAATATGCCTTCTTTGGATAAAGTGGGTAAGCAATGCTGTGTACGTTTAAATAATGTGGCTTTTGAAAGGACTAGAAGCTAAATACAAGATAAACCCAGTACTGTCTCTGCTAGCTCTTCAGATCAAAATCTCTTCCCTAAAGTATCCTGGTTTCATGTTCCTTACTATATTGTATGCAGTCATAACATCTAAATAGCTCTTGGCAGAGGATTGAACACAGTGGTAATAGGTTTACTATGATTACACACTTTGTTCTGGCTAACTTAATTTTTTTTTCAGTTCACTTACATACATCCTGTGTAGCCACAGTGAGATTAGGATGTGTGCAAAGCCACCAGATAATTTGGATTTACCTTCTATTGATGGCTTAATCAGTTACCTTCTTTAAACATTTCCTACTTTGATTTAACAACATTTACAGAGCAATCTACTGTTTCTCATGCATCCTTTTACTTCAACTACCTCATGGCTACCCACTGACATTGGGAAACATACATGTTTGTTACGGTTGTTCTCAGTATCATAACTGCTTTGGAGAGACCTATGAGTAGTAGCAGGAAGGGGCTGGGCTAATGAGGAGGATGAAATACATTGTTTGCAGCTATGAAATTGAACAGTGAAACCTGCTGAAATTGTTTTGGGAAGGGGAAAAGAGGGCAGGGAAGGTGATAGAGTGGAAGAAACTGATTGGAATATATTGTAAATATGTAGAGAGAGATAGCAATTAAATCCCCCCTCCCATATAACTAATGTAAGTATGTAACATATCAGAAAAAAAGAATTTTTTTTTTTTTTTGGGTCCAGTCATGGGGCCTGAACTCTGGGCCTGGGTGCTGTCCCTCAGCTCTTCAGCTCAAGGCTAGCACTCTACCACTTGAGCCACAGCGCCACTTCTGGCTTTTTTTTTTCTGCTTACGTGGTGCTGGGGAATCAAACCCAGGGCCTCATGAATGCAAGGCAAGCGCTCTACCACTGAGCCACCTTCCCAGCCCCGAAAAAAGAATTTTTAAACATAGAAAATTAAAATAAATTTATTGAGAAGAAATTTCTTCAGGAAAGGATGGAGATATGTGCACATGCGCATGCCCGTGCACACACACACATACACAAATACAAATACAGGGCAGGCATTATCCAGTTAAAGTGTTTATTATTTTAGAAAATCAATAGGTTTAGAGTAAGCAGGAAAGTCAGACTTACAACTGAGATTTCTGTTATTAGTTAATTATATTTAGGATTTTGAAATCCTCCTATCCAATATAGTTCAATAGAATGATTAAACGTATATTATTAAACATTTACTTCTAAGTTAATGCCATTAAATTTTTAATACATATTTCCAACCCCCTCTAATTGAATACTGTCTAATTTAGGAAATAATTTTTTTTAGTCTCTTTGCAAGCTTAATCAAAATAGACATTATTAGCCAGGCACTAGTGGCACACAGCTGCATTCCTAGCTATTTAGGAGGCTGAGGTCCAGAGGACTGTAGTTCAGAGAAACCCAAGCACTAGGGTCTACCAAAGTCTATTTCCAATTAAGCAGCAAAATGCTAGACTGGAGATGCAGCTAAAGTAGGTAGGGTATTAGCCATGAACAAGTAAGCTGAACCAAAGGGAAGCCCTGACACAAGCAAAACAAAAGCAAAGAAAGACCTTGTTAGTCCTTATTTTGCATAAAAGTAGTTTCTTCTTTATCTATGATGTTTTTACTTTCCATGGATTTCCACAGCCGGCTCTCAACTATGGTCTGAAAATGTTCAATGGAAAATTCCAGAAACAATATCCTAAGTTTTCAGTTGTGCACCTCTTTGAATAGTGTGATGACATCTCACCTTGCTGTACTCTGCCTGGAATGCGGATCATGCCTTTGTCTAGTGTGTCCATTCCGTGTCATAGCGCTTGCGTGTTCATCAGTTAGTTTTATTTCCCAGAGTTCCATCAGTTATTTTTACTTCATCAGTTACTTATTTCCCAGAGTGCAAGAGGAGTGATGGGAAGGGGCCACTAGTATGAGGCCTGTGTGGACCCATTAGCCCCAGGGCCGGTGGCAGTGCCACAGAGCTGAGGGGAAAAATTATAGGGAAAAAATAAAAAGCAAGGTTCGTTGCCGACCTGGTCGTAGGCATCCACTGGGGGTCTTGAACATATTTTGATGCATAAGAACTGCTGTTCTTCCCACAGTCCCTCAGCCTTTGATTTCTGTGATAAGACCTTACTCTTCCTACTGTCGAGGGACTGCTTCTCACTTTCTGGTACAGTTCATTCCCCCTGACCAGCCTTAATAGTGGATGGATCTTCAGCTGGGTGCCAGAGGCTCACGTCTGTAATCCTAGTTACTCAAGAGGCTGAGATCTGAGGATCCTGGTTTGAAGTCAACCCAGGCAGGAAACTTTGTGAGACTCTTTTTTTTTTTTTTTTTGGGTCCAGTTGTGGGGCCTGAACTCTCAGCTCTTCAGCTCAAGGCTAGCGCTCTACCACTTGAGCCACAGCGCCACTTCCGGCTTTTTTCTTTTTGCTTATGTGGTGCTGAGGAATCGAACCCAGGGCCTCAGGCATGCAAGGCAAGCGCTCTACTACTGAGCCACCTTCCCAGCCCCACTTTGTGAGACTCTTATTTCCATTTAACCACCAAAAGCCAGAAGTGGCTCAAGTAGAGTGTAGCCTTGAGCACAAAAACTCAGGCACAGCATCCAGGCCCAGAGTTCAGGCCCCAGGACTGGAAGAAAAATTTCAGTGGATCTTCAGTGTGCCACCCTTCTCATTCTCTCCTCGGGGGATCCCATCCTCTCCTATAGCTTTAATTACACCTATGCTACTAGTGACTTCCATATCTGTAATTCAAATCCAGCTCTTGCCCTGTCCTCTTGGATATTCATAGAGTTGTTATTATTAGTAGTAGTATTAATATTAATATTTTTGCCAGTCCTGGTGCTTGAACTCTGGGTGTAAAAACTGTCCCTGAGCTTTTTCACTCAAAGCTAGTACGCTACCACTTTGAGCCACAACTCTACTTCTGGTTTTCTGGTGGTTATTTGGAGATAAAAAATCTCATGGACTTTCTTGCCCAGGATGGCTTTGAACCATGATCCTCAGATCTCAGCCTCTACTGGTGTGAGCCCAGCACCCAACTCAGAGTTTTTTTAAATTATGTGATTTTTTTTTTTAAATTTTATTTTATTTTATTTGAGAACATACTGTACAGAGGGGTTACAATTACATGGGCAGGATAATGCATACATTTCTTACCAAGCATTGCAGCCTCCTCCTTTGTTTACCCTTCACCTCCCTTCCCACCCTCCCCCCTCCCCCCCACCCAATCAAACTCCCCCTCTCCCCCCCACTCCGACATTGTAAAGCTGGTTTTGACATGAATTAATTATGTGATTTTTATCACTAATCATTGACTAATTAAAGGTCAGTGAGAAGAGGTTGTTCATGTTTATTAATTTTTCTGTGGAACAAATAGTTATTACTTAGGCCAAGAGAAAACTTTTTCACTTCTCCTTTTTCCCTTCCCTCCCCTCACCTTCCCTCCCCTCCCCCTTCTCCCCACCCCTCCCTTCACCTTCCCTCTCCTCTCCTTTCCTTTCTTCCTTTCGCCAGTCTTGGGGTTTGAATTCAGGGCCTGGGCACTGTCCCTGAATTCTTTTTCCTTTAGGCTAGCAGTCTACCACTTGAATCACAGCAACACTTCTGGCTTTTTCTGTTTATGTGGTACTGAGGAATTGAATCCAGGGCTTCATGCATGCTAGGCAAACACTCTACCACTAAGCCACATTCACAGCCAAGTTGCTACTTTTGATAAAGTATAATTTATAGTCTTTTTTTAAATTTTGAGACTGGGTCTCAAGCTTGTGGGCTCAAATGATCTTCCCTCAGCTTTCTAAGTAGCTGGTGTTCTAGGCATTCACCACTATGCCTAATTTAAGTATAGCACATAATTTTCTAAGTATTTATTATTTAAAAGATATCTTCTTAAACATAGTACTGGATATAGTAAGATACTAATAATAAAATAGGAGAACAGACAAATATATATGCTATGTTACTACTGATCTAAGAAGACACTTTTATTATTCTCATCTTATGGAGGCTCAAAAAGGTTCTCAAGGTCTCAGATAGAAAGTATTGGAGGCAAGACCTGTACATGTGTCCTCTGCCTCCAGAGCTGTGGCCTTGCCTTCTGGAGTTTACTGAAATGAAAGGACATTAGAACCATCCATCAATGTACTCAGTGTAGTCACATGCTACTTAACAATGCTGTGTAACATGTTCTCAGAAATGTCAAGTGTTCCCTTGTTGTGCAAACATCAGAGTAAACTTAGGCCAGCTGACAAAACAGCACTAACAACATTGTCTTATGGGACCACCATTATATATGCAGTCCATCACTGGCCCAAACCCTGTTGTATGGTCCATGCCTGTATATTGAATACTTATTGCACGTTTGTGGCTGTGTACTTGCAGTATGCCAGTGTAAATAGGACAGGACTTAGCCTTCCATACCTGCGGTCTCATAGAAGTGTGCAGGTAAGTGCACTATAACGACAGGATTTATGAGTAGAGCATGTTAGCGGATCACACAGACTAGCCCCGATGAGGTGTTGGTGTGTCAAGTGTGAGGTTGTCACAAAAAACCTTGGCTTGGTATCTATCTGCTGAGACTTGAAGGAAGAATTACCTGGACCAAAATGATGATGATAAATGTTTTAGGATGAGAATAGCAGTTTAAGGATTAAGAGTAAATTATGGCCACTGCATGGGGTGGTAGTTGGGGGATCTTTAACTGTGTAGGTAAGCATTGTGTGGATTTTGCAAGGTCTGTCAACCCTATTCAGAGATTTGGATCTAATTGTAATGATAATGGCAGTCTATTAAAGGGTCTTAAGCAGAGCAATAATATACTACTACTTGTGGAGAGATTTCTGTGGTGGTATGGTAGAGATTAGATTAGAGAGAGCAATGAAGATTAGAGACTGACAGGTGATGTTGGTTCAGCAAAAGGATAGGTCTACATGGAAAATGAGTAGACATGGAAAAGGTAGAGTGAGGAGGATGTAGAGGTCAAGTATAGGTGGTGAGGGAGAAGCAGCACTGGCAGATTGTCCCAGCCTCCTGACCATGGCACCTACAGGAAAGGGAATAGGAATAGCGTTGAAGTATCTTTATTTGTTTGACCATAAAAAGCTAAGAGACTGTGTAAGTGACTGGTGATGTGAATGAAGAGTTCTTACTGAGGAGGAGACATGGAAGGAAGTAGGGAGCGTGCAGGCTGAAGTACGGTGGAGGACTTGGAGGGTGCCAGTCTCTATGACTTAGGATTTTCTTCCCAGCAAGGACTGTACTGAGCAAGTGTGACAGAGTGGAAGCAGAGGTCTTCACTGTGCTGCTAAGCACAGTGAAACATGACCAGTTACGGAAGGTTGGGGCTGGCTAGCTGAAGAGAGGGACTTTTGGAGCTGATTTGAATGGGGAAAGAGGACACAAGGTTAGAACACAGGAAACCTAAGTAACTTCTAAGGACAAGTGTCACAAGAGGAGAGAATAGACAGGTGTGGTCAGAGAACTAGAATTATTATTTTTTGCTGGTCTTGGGGCTTGAACTCAGGGCCTAAGTGCTATGCCTATGCTTCTTTTGCTCAAGGTTAGCACTCTACCACTTAAGCTCCAGCTCCAGTAGTTTAGTGGAGATAAGAGTCTCAGGGAACTTTCCTGCCTGGACTGGCTTCAAACTGTGATTCTCAGATCTCAGCCTCCTGAGTAATTACTCTACAGGGATGATCCCCTGGCGCCCAGCCAGAGAGAACTTGAATTTATGGCAGAGAAACCGAGCCTTTCTTGATGGGGAAGGCTGGGAACATTTTGCTAGACACCTGGGTTAAGTTCAAGAGGCAAGTTAAGTTTTAGTTATTTGACATAGGAATGGAGGGGAAGGAGGAGGCAAAATAAAAGGAAGGGTTGCTGTCTCCCAGATGTGTTTTATCATGCTGCTGTAGCAAGGTTGCCTAGCAAGCAGCTGGAGCGTTCACTGCCCACACTTGCAGAAGGCAGCATCTGCCAGAATTTCCATGAGCGTAAGCTGCCCTTGTGACTGATACAGAGCGCAGAGGGCAGGCCGGTCTCCATGCCAACATGAGGAGTGGGAAATGAGGAGTAGAATGACGAGTAATCGGTCACGCACTTTTCTGTCTAGATGGGCCATTGTCTTCAGAAATGGAATCCAGAGGAAATGATACCAAAGATGATATTGGTGTAAGTATTGGAAGGGGAGTTTTACTCTTGTGTTCAGGGAACTTCTAATCTCTTGGCTTAACTAGAATAGGAATACAGCTAATAGTTTACTTTGTGATAAAAAGCTGCTTGTCTTTTGACAGACTTCTTCACATTAAAGCTGGATTGTAAGCTATGGTGATAAAGTACATATTTCAAGCAGGTGTAGTGGTGTACACCTGTAATTCTAGCGCTTAGTAGGCTGAGGCAGGAGGGTGGTGAGTTTGAGGCCAGTCGGCTCCATGGGGAGACCCTGCGTCAAACATACAAAGAAACAGCAAAGCAACAAAAAGAAACTTGGCAGCTTTCTTCTTAAGAAAAAAAAAAGTACAGTTTGTAGACTGTGCATTAAAATTAGCTTGTTAGTTGGACAAGATGTTAGATTTTCCCCTCTTGGATTTTTTCCCCCTAGAATTGGGATTTGGCCTTGGTTTGTTTGGCTGGCCCTCTACCATTTGAGCTTTGCTTCCAGTCCTACTTTTTTTCTTCATAGTTGCCTATGTGTTTTCTTCCAAGCCTAGAATCTGGGGAAAAGAATTGTCCATTTTGTTGCTTATATGACTGTTTTATGTGAATCTGTTACAGAACTCACATATGCTTGACTCATCTCTCGCTGCTGAGAGGGAAGCACCAGGCTCGGGCTTTGCACCTCCACCCCTCCCTCCGGTCCGAGCTCCCTTGTTTCCAGTGGATCCCAGGAACCAGTTCTTGAGAAGGGCACCTCCATTTCCTCCACCTCCTCCCAGCGCCCTGTATGGAGTTCCCCGGGACTATTTCCCACCCAGGGGTTTCCCTGGCCCACCACCTCCTCCGTTCCCAAGTAGGTTTCTTTAAATTTATATTTGTGTAGTAGGTCAGATAGGATTTGACTGCATGCGTGCAGTCTGGCAGAGCATCAGTTCTCTAGGTTGTGGGAGCGTACCAGTGCTTTCCAGATGGAGAGGGGCTTCTTTCCTCCCAACATGGGCCTGGTCTGTATTCAGTGTCCAGAAGGGCATTGACTTTTTGCAGCAGTCTTCATGCAGACAAAAATTCTTTGTAATCTCGTTTGATAGAAACTTGGCATTGTGGGCTGGGAAGGTGGCTCAGTGGTAGAGCACTTGCCTTGCATGCCTGAGGCCCTGTGTTCGATTCCTTAGCACCACATAAGCAAAAAGAAAAAAGCTGGAAGTGGCGCTGTGGCTCAAGTGGTAGAGCGCTAGCCTTGAGCTGAAGAGCTGAGGGACAGCGCCAGGCCCAGAGTTCAGGCCCCATGACCGGACCCAAAAAAGAAACTTGGCATTGTGGCAATTAGTTAAATTAATTTTAATTTATATCTTAGCATTAACATTGCTAGAGAGGGTTTTTTTTGTTGTTGTTCCTTTTGTTCCTATTCTGGGGTTTGCTTAAGCTAGCGCTCTACCACTTAAGGCATAGCCTCACTTCTGGCTTCTTAGTGGTTAATTGGAGACAAGAGTCTCATGAACTTCCCTGCTCAGGTTGGCTTTGAACTGAAGTCCTCAGATCTCAGCCTCCTGAGTAGCTAGGATTATACGCATGAGCCAGTGATACCTAGAGTTTTTTTTTTTTTTAATTTATGTAATTGTACAAAGGAGTTGTCCATCTAACAAGGCAGTTTATGAATATAGTATACTTTAATCAGTGTCACCTCTTTCAACATTCTCACACAGGAGTATTTTTAATATTCTTTTTCATGATTCTCCTGCGATCCTATTTATTACTTAAGATGTATATATCATACTTAGTCTAGTTGATGGGTTTATTGAAGTTCTGTCATGGCTTTATTGAAAAAAAGAATGATGTGCTATTTCATAGCCATATTTTGCCATTAAGAATGCCAGGATTTTGCCTATATTTTTATAAATGAATGAAGTCTGTTGTCTTATGCAGTCATTCTCTCCTTCTAATTTTGAAGTTTAAGGTGGATTAAGAGGAATTTTGGGGGCTAGAGGTATGACTCAAGTGGTCCAGTAAGCGCCTAGCAGGCATAAAGCTTTGGGTTCAAATTCATGTGCTGTCAAAATTTACAAAAAAAAAAAAAAGAGAGAGACATGCTCTGGTATGTCTGCAGTTTTAGCTGCTCAGGAGGCGGAGGTCTGAGGATCGAGGTTTGAAGCCAGCTTAGGCAGGTAAGTCCCTAGGACTTTTATCTTCAACTAACCACCAAAAAGCTGAAAGTGGAAAAAGATAAGAGCACGTAGGTTCAAGTTGAAGCCCCAGAACTATCACACACACACACAAAGACAAAGCCGAATTTGGTTTGGGGAATTTGAAGACAGTTTTATTCTACTACTATAAAGAGTCACTGATCTGAAGTCTGGTGAAAATTAGATTATAGTGAAAAAGTTTTTTCAAAGTACATATTGAGTATTTTGAAAGAATTTCTTTCTTTCAAGTGTTAAGCCAAATGTTACCTAATGTAATGCATTGATTTTCCCATTAGTCATGCATAGTTGAAGCACTCCAGTTTTATTTTTTAAAAGATAAAAAGTAAAAAAAAATGAGATCAGGAAGTTACTGTGGTGTCAGTTTTGGGCGTAAGAGTTAACTATTAGAAGTTATAAGCGAATGACTTTATAGGGCTGCAGTACAGATTCCTGATGTTATCTATCTCTTTGAACAGTGAGAAGTGTCTACCCACAGAGGGGCTTTCCTCAGTATCTCCCGCCCCAGCCTGGGTTGTTTCACCCAGCCCCACATTCTGAAAGCAGCAGCCAGTTCCCTTCAGCACTGACTCCGGCCAGTGAACCTGCTGCAGAACCTCCCAAGGCCCAACAAGAAGCCTGATGGCGCTTAACTGCTTGCTCCTCAAGTCATCTCCACCCAGCTGGTCTTCAGTTTAAGTAACTGCTGTTACTTAAGTGATTATACTTCTGCTCAAATTGAAGCTCAATGGAATAAGAATTCTCAGGATAGAACTTTGTAAATAAAGATGATTTAAATATGAGTCTTATGAGTAAATTATTTCCTTTTTATTCCAGATGACTTAATTTTGATTATCCACTAATCCACTCTTACCCAAACCACAATGGGGATTTTATATGCATAATCTTGCAGTTGTGGGGGGGAGGGGCATGTATTTTAAACTTCAAAGGCTGCTTCATTATGCCAGGAAATAGATCCCTGTGGTTGTGGACAAATGTGAAAATTTTGTGCTTACATTTTGATTTTAAGACTTGTTTTCTGTTGATAATAAAAACAGCTAGTTTTTTATAAATATGGCTTCCATTAAATTCATTCTTTTCCCTATACCAGTAACAAGGAGGTCGAAAACTAAAACTTTTTGTGGGTCTAATTTGATTGTCTTATTTTTTAAAAAGTATCTTCTTCCTTTCAGATAGGCATACATGAACCAAGTAACTAATTTACCATAGTTCAAAAAGTCAAAATTGATTATATTTCAAAGAAATCCAGATACTGTCTAATGGTGAAATGTGGAATACTGGTCTCCTGGTGCATTTTTATTTCTCTCATTTTCTTCTTGTAAGGTAGTTAGCACTTTCTGTGGGGAAAGATGAGATTTGCTTCAGGGTTTTAGTGAGGCAGTGTCATCATCTTGAGTGTCGGACTGTTTTCCAAGTGTTTCAGGTTGCGTTCTAGTATTAATCCTCTGGCACCTTACTGTGATTATAAAGGAAACTCAATGGCATTTAACTGTACACTTGTAGTTGTTTGCTTGGACTTTTTTTTTTCTTCAGTACCAGAGATGACATGTTTTTGGAAGTGGAGCTGTGAGTCAAGTGGTAGGCTAGCAGGCCCTGGGCCCTGAGTTCAAGCCCTAGTTTCAGTGCTTGTGTGTATACGTGGGCAAATAAACACGCACACAAAGATATATTCTTGCACAGAGCAGAGATGCATTTGTACATGTGACACTCGATTACCAGCATGTTTGCTGTGAGCACGGTGTCTCCACTCTTCTCCCCCTACCATGCCCACCTCAGGGAAAGAGCCTGAAAAGAATGGCTGCATATGAAAGGCTTAGATAAAATATTAAGACATCACACTGATTTTCACTTTGGTCTAAATGTGTTCCTCACAAGTTTTTTTTTTTTTTTTGGAGGGTTGTGGGGCTTGGGACTCAGCCTGGGTGCTTGCTGTCCCTGAGCTCTTTTTGTTCAAGGCCAGCACTCTACCACTTTGGAGATGGTCTCATGGACTTTTCTGCCCAGAATGGCTTTGAACTGTGATCCTCAGATCTCAGCTTCCTGAGTAGCTGGGATGTAGGGGTGGGGAGACCTGTCATGACCTGAGATAGAAAGGAAGCGAGGAGAAGTTAAGTTAGATGCTAGGAAAAATCCTGAGGAGATTGAGTGCATTGGGTAGGAATATAGAAGGGCAGAGGCTTAATGCAGGTTTAATGGCTTAAATACTTTGGACCTTTAGAATAAATGAACATGTTTAGCTTTGAAGTATATAACCAGATGGAAACATGAAACCTATAGTAAATTTTCACCATTTAGACCTTCCTAGCTCTATTTCCTTAAGTACTCTGTTTTTAAACTATTAAGCTTTTTCAGAAGATAGGTACTTCCTATTTCCTAATTTTATTAAAACTTAGCCATTTGTAATTTTACTCTGAGATGAAAAATGGCATTTGATATTTATCTAGATTAGTATTGAACAACTGTAGTATTAACATATTTAATTTTCCCTTAGAATCTCTTGATTCCAGTTTTTTTTTTTTTTTTTCCAGTACTGGAGCTTGAACTCTGCACCTGGGCACTTTCCTTAAGTTTTTGCTCAAGGCTAGCCTTCTACTAACGAGCCATAGTGCTTTTTCTGAGTAGTTTATTGGAGAGGTGTCTCAGGGACTTTCCTGCCCAGGCTGACTTCAAACTGTGATCTGTAGATCTCAGCCTTCTGAGTAGCTAGGATTACAGGCGTGAGCCACCAGCTTAATTCCATTTTCTTCCCCTCTCCTTTTCAGTGTTATGCTTCCTGTTAGCTGTCTACTTACGTTTTTAGGTTCCTAATACCTATGTTATATATAGGCATAAGCATAATGTTTTCTATAGTTGTCCTATAATTGGCCTGAAAGTTGAAAATCAGTAAATGGCTAATCATTTAAATAATTATTTATGGTCATACCAAATTAAGCATTAAGTTTCAATTTTTATGAATCGCAGTGATATACTTTCTGGGTCAGTCGAAGAGAATGTTCTTGAACATCAAGATAAAATGAAGTTTTTTCTACTCTACATTCCTCCCACTCACCAATAATGGCTTAAAATAGAGGCACATTTTTTTCTTTGCTTTATACACAGGCCAGTTGAAGTGAAAGCTCAGGGAATCGCACAACGTTCAGATGTGGCATTGAATGTTATTTTGGCTGCCCTGGGTTCTAGCTGCCTAACTTTCATTGTTCTTTATCTTAAAAATATTTTCATTTAATATTTTTTATTATTTTATCACATTTATTTTAAAGGGGTTTCAACCCCGAAAGTCAGGTTATGAAGTACAGTGCATCTTGATTAATGCCACCCCCTTCATTTTCCATATCCCAGGGGATGGTGGCTCCCACCTGTAATCCTACCCAATAGGCTGAGATCTGAGGACTGGGTTTCGAAGACAGTCTATACTACTCACGGGGTTAAACTCTGGGGATCCCAGTTCAAAACTAGCCCCAGCAGTAAAGTCCTTGAGACTCCAACTAACCACCAAAAAGAAGTAGAACTGTCACTCAAGTGGTAGAGTGCTAGTTGTTGGCAAAAAAAGCTCAGGGACAATATATAAATATATTGTGTGTGTGTGTGTGTGTACACTGGAGTTTGAACTCTGGGACTCATATTTTCCCTTACCTTTACCACTTGGACACAGTTGCACTTCAGTGGGCTTTTTCCCCTGGTTCATTGTGGTCCCAACTCTTTATATTATGCCAGCATACTGTACAGTATGTGTAGGGCTAGAAGCATCGTTCCAATGGTGGGTGTGTGCTGGTTGCTCACACGGTGTGTTACTCCATTAGCACTGAGTCATGACATTGCTTTCCTGAAGATCCACTATGGATTCATTTATAAACCCAGGCAAGTTAGTTTCTGTATCTTTGTGTCCAGCTAACCATTTTGTCCCTCAAAAACCTTACCCTACTGGCTCCTAAACTTTTTTTATTCTGGAGTGGTGGAACAAACAGTCAAGTCATCTTTCTTCATTTTCTTTTTTTCCCCTCTTTTGGCTGTACTGGAGTAAGTGTGCATGCCAGGCAAACACTCCGATTTCTAGCCTGGAAAATAGATTATGAATTCCATACCATTCAGTAAACTCTGTCAAGGGTGATCTTTTATTTTCATAAGCTATTATGAGGCTCACAGGAGCTGAGAATTTCTAGATAACCCAGTCCAATTCTCACATCAAAGATGAGGAAGCTGAAGTGAAAAGGAGTTGGTGCAGTGTTAGCCAGAATTCAGAAGACATTGAGCTTTAAGTGCTACCCCCGACCTTCATCTGCATGACCTGCATCTTATCTGATAGACTGTTCTTCCTATAGTCTAGGTAGATTTTAATACATTCAAGTACTTATGTCCAAGAAATAAGGAATCAGTAGATATACGGACAATTCTTTTTGAATACCCCAGGAAGCAATGCCTAAGCCAATCGGTGTGAATTAGGGAAGGAAAAACAGAAAAAAAGCTGTTTTCTTTGCTGTCAGGAGAGTGGTGTGTCTCAAGAACCAAAAATAGTGATCACATCCAACTAGAGCAATAAAGGGCTTTGTGAAGTTACTACTGGCATATCTAAATATTTGTGCCTGTGGTATAGGAATTAAAAAATTGATCAATGATGTGTTCTAAGTGTGCACTACATTGGGATTTTGGACTAACAAAGGCTTTGTCATTACTTAAAGATTTTTTTTTTTTGTTGGTTGTGGGGCTTGAACTTGGACTGGGAGCTGTCCCTCAGCTCTTCAGCTCAAAGCAAGCACTCTACCTCCTCAGCTACAGCACCACTTCCGATTTTCTGGTGGTTTATTGGAGATAACAGTCTCACGGCCTCTCCTGCCTGGGCTGGGTTTGAACTGCGATCCTCAGATCTCAGCCTCCTGAATAACTAGGATTACAGGTGTGAGCCACCAGCGCCCGGCAGTCATTACTTTTTAAAAACTAAAAACGTCTAAACTATTTTAGCTTTGCTGCACCAAAATGCAGTATCAGCTGACATGATTATACAAAATCAAAGATTATCACAGTTTATTTAATACTCAAGGTTTTCATGCTTCATATACAATAAACTGGATTTCAATGGTCACTTTTTAATGCTTTATTCATTGATTAAAAGAATATACATTTAACATAAACCACACAACATCAGTCATCAGGTCAAACATTCAGCTGGTTTCCTTACAGTTTCTGTCAGGAGTTATTTTATCTGATCACATGTACAAGATAAAATCTCCCCACAGCTGGCATCTGCACACACTGTGCCAGTGGATTCACACTACTGATGTACATATAAAACCCGCATGGTATGTGCTCACTGGAGACAAAACAGTGCACACCTGTCAAAAGGTCATTTAATAGAAGATGGTAAAACCATTTGTAAAACATAGAAACTTTTTCCATAAATAGAATCATATCTGGACATCTGTTGCATAAATTGTGTTTCCAAAGCTTACAATAGAGCAGCCAGGTCTCAGCACTGCTGGGCACCTGTGTTGGCTACTTACTTTATTATTGCAGACTGTCCTTTAACATTAAATGCACAACATTCGTACCACTTAAAACTGGGGTCAGGTGGAAGTCTCACAGAGACCACGTCTGTACCGCGGTTGCCCTGAACAGTTAAATTGGCTTTTAAAGCCTCTCAGATATAACAAGGTTTTAAAACATACTTCATGGAATGTTCTTCATGTAGCATAGCAGCTCATACCTGTGATAGAACAAGCTTTCAGTTTTTCCTTCCTTTCCTTTACATTCACTATTCACAGTGAAACAGGTGCATGTTTTTTTTTCT